ATGACGTGCTTCACGTGCTACGCATGCACAACAGCACAAAGAAATTCCCGCCGCCGGGGAGAATTGCCCATTGTCCCTCTTGTGCCTTGTGCCTTCTGCCTTCCTGTTACATATTCCGACCTCGACCCTCGACTTCCCGTGGCAGGGAAGAACGGTGTAAGAAGCTAAAGAACCATGACTCTCCGGCGACGTGCGTCAACTTGACACTCACGAATCACGATCGGTCGTCGGCGGGTCGGCGAGACGAGAGCAACGAACACGTGAGAGTCACGCGACAAGACGAACGAACGAACGGATTCGCGTCATTCGCGACGAGGTAAGGCTTTGAATTGAAGTCGCGAGCGAGCGGTGGATTCGAGGCGATCGAAATCCAAGGAGGTCAACGTATCGAGAAAACTCACTTCGGCTCACTTTGCCAGTTACGACGCACCACGTGTCGTCATCGCGGTATAAACTAATCTAACCTAACCTGAGCTGCGCGCGAGGAGAGGTCCAAATATCGTCGTTGACGCCTGCTGGGAAAGCTTCGCGCCGCGCTTGAGCCAGTTGAGCCTCGAGATCTCGACCAAACGACGCGGAGGCGCGAAGTGGGAGTAGTGGGACTCCGCTTAATCCGCATTGCCGCATTGTGTCTTGTGTCTTGGAGCGCGCGAGAAAAAGCCGCTACGATCGGCTAACCTGTATATGATCTGTACGTCGAGCAGCTCGAACAAGTGAGTAAAGACAACGGCCTGTTTTTCTTAGCCTTTACTCTCCATTTTCTCCTTCAATTTATGCTTTTCTTGTTGCCTTTTGCGTTCGCGCTATGTTCTGTTCCAGTTTGAGTGAATAGAACGATTGGGTGATTTATCGAGGAAGTCAGTATGTGTCAATATATAAGTTAACGCAGGAATAATGCATGACTCATCGGCGGCGAATGGATCCTTCGGCGAGTTTCGAGTCAGTTTTCTTCAGTACGTCGAGATATCGATCACATTTTAGGTTAGGAGGAAGCTGCAAGTAAATAACAATACGATTTTCTAACTCCTGGAAGTAGTGAGGTAGATTTTTCTACGTTCCTTACATGGAGCAAAAAAGTTTTAAATGTATCCCTTTTAATGTAACAAAATTTGCCGACATTTTTTGGTGGTTTTTGCATAGTTAGAGTTGTGATGAAAGATTTGTGATGAAAGGTAGCAAATAATGGTGATTTGCTTTTACAAAATAGAGTGTAAGGTGTTGATTGTTTTTATGTCAATTGCTCGGTTGTATTTCTAGCTACGCATTCCAATCCTGCTTATAAGTATTTTCTTTAACATCTTAATAGATTGATTAACCTTGGTTGTAAATTCAGACCGAAGGTCATTAACACTAAGAAAATATTTTAAACAAGTTTGTAAGTAGACTTTGAATATAGGTTAACTAATGCAATAATACAGGCAGCGTTCCGATATATATGTTATGGCCAGTCTACAATGAGTCGTTAGTCGTTAGTCAGATGTCGGAAGAAATAGTTATAAGTGTATTGTAAGGCAATTGGAGGCCTGTAATCGGTGATGGTAAGAGATGGCGTTTGGCCAATCGCTTATGATTGTCGATTACAGACTTCCGATCGCCTTATGACACGTTGACTTTTTCCGACTCTCTTCCGACATCTGACTAACGACTAACGACTCATTGCAGACTGGCCATTACATACACTATAGATTTGTAGTACTAGCAGTGAATATCGTAACGCAGCTGCAGTTTAATTGTTTGTATGTAAAAGTAATGTGTTCCATGTACAAAAGATACAAAAAAGTTCAAGTAAATGTTATTATGATTTATTCCATTTAAACTTTATTTACATTCAAGCTGAGAAAGGTCTTTTTTTGCCTCTTTCAAAGTGTCCGAAGACAATGTTCCGTCTGTTATGTCCATAAAGAGCAAAATTCCATGTTTGATAAAAATTGCCATGTTTAGTGACTTTAGAGAAAACAGTTTGATTACTATTGCACTTTTGATGCAAGATATAATGCGTATTTTATAAGAAGACGTATAATTCACACTAAATATATTACAGATGGACTCCGACGAGGAACTGTTTGATGCGACACCGAGTTGTAGTACTTCAACGAACACGAGTTTGAACTTGACGCAGCAAACAAAGGATTTAACGCTGGATTCAACCCAAGAGAGAGATTCCAATAATGTGACGACAAAAAATATTTCGGTAAAACTTACGCGTTTACCAAATGCAAAGATAGAGGAAGAGCTGCAGACACATTTGCATTTAGCTAAAAAGAAAAGACGTTTTTCATGGAAATTTGGACGATCTGAGAAAAACAAAAAGCGAAAAAAATCCTCTTTTTTTATACCTTCGAGATCTCTACAATTCCAAAAGATGGAACCTACCACCGAAGATACATCGATACTGTCAAAAGATAGAGAAAATGAAGAAAATGCACCCTTGAACGAATCGTATGATGTTGAAGTATTATCCGAAGGAGATCAGGAGAATGAACAGGATGCACAGAGCGAGACTAAAAGTTTCATTTCATCACCGAGTCAAGCGCAGAAAGAAGTAGAGGAAGAAGAAGAAGAAGACTCGTATGCCGCTAAAACTTATGTATGCGCACGTACTTTACCTTACGAATTTCATCGGAAAAGTGGCAAAATGTTTGATGATGGAACCATTGTAAAAAATACCACTCCTTCACTTTTGTTGTCACCAAGTAGCAAGAACGCAGAGCCGAGTTTGCACAGCAACACATCCTATCTGTCTGAGTGTTCGTCTTCAAATAGTGCAAACGCGACGAAAAGACTGATTCATTCAAAATTGAAATTTATGGCCAAAAGAGTGAAGGGAAATCAATTGGATGAATGGAAATTTAAAAGAAAATATACTTCATCTGACAGTGAAATTGAAGAGATACCTGTAAAAAAAAGGTGTCGAAGAATATCGAATGAATCTGATGATGAAGATTCATCTGTAAGTAATGCAGAAGCGATTGATAATAATAATAAAGATAACAAAGATAATAATCGGAGTAAATCTAGTTTGTCTCTTGAAAAGATTGATAAAAAGGAAATGGATATACAGATTAAATCGGCTCGGGTTATTTTAACAAGATTGGAAGAAATGGAAGATGAGAATGTTATCAAGTGGCGAGAGATCAAAACGAAGCCTTTGGATATTACCGCATCTGAACCATTAGAAGAACAACAATTGGACCGACTGGAGCTAGTACCAAATTTGGTAACTTTAGAATCTCAAGCGCAAGAAGACGGGTTGTTGGAAACACAAGAGCCTTCTATTTCTAAGGATTCTCCATTATCTAAGAACGTTGAAAGACGCCGTGCGCTAAAGTCAAGGTTGAATAAGCTAAGGAAGAAATATAAGTTGTTCAGGAAGCCTAGAGTTCTAATGATAGATCTGGATACTTTATGTTCTTCCAAGGATGGCAGATACTCGGCGACTGAGGTCGATCGTTTAACGAAGAAATATGTGACCTTTGTGATAAATTCTAATAACCAACATAAAATTCGTAGGTCAAAGACGTATAGACACGCGCACTTACAAAAGAGAAGTACGCAGAGAATACCAATAGACGCAGAAAATACCGCAGAAGATAATAATACAAGTCCTACTTTGTCCAGAAGACAAAGTACGAACGAAATATTTAAATCACGGTTTACAGAAAAAAGTTCAATAAAAGGTACACGTCTCTTCAAAGTAATCTTACTTAATTTTATTTTTTTAAATAATAATTTATGTTTAATACGATTTTGTTAATTTCAATTTTTTGTTCCAGACGTTCAAACCGCACAAAACAGCGATGAAGATGTGCCGTTCAAGATCCACCGAAAGTTCATCCAAAATCGGAGTAAATCTTCATCATCATCAGGGACGTCCGAGAAGAGTGGTCCTTCGTCACAGAAGCGTTTAGAAATATGGCGAAATGCATTTCGCAAAATTATGACCTCGGAACAACCGCAAAAGAAAACCACTTCTGCGCAGTCAACGTCAACATCACAAACACCCTCCATTTCGCGAAAATCGCCGAAGAAATCGGTGGTTGCGAGATGTGAGAGTGTTTATACTTTGCCTTCCACATCTACGTCTTCCCCAAAACACAGTACACTGGTCGGATCTCCTAGAAAACTCGCTTCGCCGAAGAAACAAACAGAAGTCTCAGCAAAGCCGACGAAGTGTAACACAGCCAAGCCCGAGTCATCAGTCAGCAGTAAGAATCTTCCAAATGTTGAAAAGAGCATCTCCAATAGCGACTTTACTCAATCTAAGGAAAACACTGTTTCTAAAAGCCCATGTAAAAACGCAAAAGAGGTAGACGTTGCTATATCAGACGCTTTCTTAAATTCGAGCAAGAAGACATCAAACACGACACGGAAATCTCGTAAAGCGATCCAGTTTGGATCAAAAATTCTCCTTGGCATGTCTACAAAATCGATAATCCCAAACATGTGCGGCGATGAACGGTCACTACGCAAAAGGAACCAGACATACAAATGTACCGTGTGCAACGAGTTGTTCGAGAATCAGGAAGAGTTGGTGAAACACATGTTGATTACCAATTTCCATAATACACGTAGAGCTAGGCGGGCATTTAGCAATGCATCGAAATCTGAGGAAGCCTCGATGTTAGACAAAACAGTCGTGAATAAGAACAGTCAAAATTTGGAAAAGTCGAAACCGTCAACATCGCAAGAGCAATGTTCTTCTGTTAATGGAGAAGGTAGTTCGCATCAATCGGATAAATCTGTTGTTGATTCTGACATGGAAATCTCGTCCTCTTCTTCCTCCTCGTTATCATCGAGAGTCGTCAAAACGCACCACGAACGTGCCAAGATGCCACATAAGAAAACCAAGGCTAAATCAACTACGAAGTCAAAGTCCAATCTGAAACTGGATTCGTCAAATAGGGCGAAAAGTTTAGAATCCAAGAATGTGAAATTGAATCGTTTGAGGAACTCTAGAATAAGACGGAGATGCACTATTTGTTTACAGGTCTTTGATACCTCTTATCAATTGTTTCGGCATACGTTTAAGCATATGGCCCACGATCTCAAGAGTATGTACACGTCGATTGAAAAGATTAAGATTGCTACTTCGCAAGAGTCTAACGATAATGACGATCAGGTCGATGATGTAGGAGAAAATGCTACTTCGCAAGAGTCTAACGAGAATAACGATCAGGTCGATGATATAGGAGAAAATTTGGTAGAAGCAGTTACGGAAGAGGTCGAAGTAGCCAAAAACGGTGTCAATGGTCAAGAGAAGAGATCAGAAAATACAAACAAATCAAGCGCGGAGAATCCTGTTGCTTCAAGAGTAACACAGCCTGGTGCAACTAAGGGAAGAAGCGATGCTTCGAATGTGTCGGCGGCAAACACTGTAGAACGAGACTCACAAAGACAGTCGACACCTGTAGCGAACAACGTCGAGCAGAATGTACAAATTGCGGAGAAAGTAAGAACGTGTGTCGTTAAATCGTCTTCGGAGCAATCGACGAAGTCCTTCACCATCTGCGAATGCCACAGGCCCAAGACGAGCAACGAATCACCGGTTCAGATCGAGATAGTTTTATTGTGCACCATTTGCCAGACGCTGTTTCGACGCTTGGGCTGCTTCGAGGCGCACTGTGCGCAGCGTTCTGCGGAAGGCACACTCTGTAACAAAAACCGACGGACGAGTAGGAAGTCCACGTTGCTCTGTGTCAACTGTCAGCAGACACTGAACTCTATCCAGGAGCTGGGCATTCACTTGGTGATGCATTCTCGGCTCTATCGCGCAAGCACGGCGACTTTTTGGTGCAACATATGCAAGGTGATCTTTTATGGTCTCGGACAGCTCTTCACCAACCATTTCCAGAATCACGCGAAGAACCCGCTCTTCCTAGCTAGTCGTCTTTCGTTCCCGAGGCCTTCCAACATCGGCTCGAAACTTATTAAGTTTCGGTCGACGGACAACGACAATGACCAATTGCCAGAGTCTTATATGCAGATAGCCGACCATGTGTGTCAAGATTGCAGAACACCCTTCATGACATTGCAGGCTCTGAAATCGCACCAGATGATCTGTCCAAACGCCACTACCACGTCTACCGATCCTCGTAGTGGATCATCGAACTCGATCACATTCACTAAAATACCAATTATGCTGATATGCGGATTCTGCAACAAGACGTTTTACAACAGGATGTCTTTTGAAGTGCACTCATTGGAGCATACGCAGAAACGCGATGTGCATCTGCACTATACTTGCGTGGCTGTCACCGCCGTAACGAAAGTATATATCTGCAAAGTGTGCACAACCATGTGGCAATCTTTGCAGAGCTTCGAGGAACATTGGCAGACTCATGCTGCGCTGCAGGAGGACTATATATGCTCCCGCTGCCGTAATCATTACAATAGTATCGATCTGTTTCAGAGGCATGCGAGCGTGCACAGGAGCAACAACGAGATGCAACAGATGCCGATCACGTGCGAGGTAGTCTATCGCGATATCAGTAACCTGAACTCTACGAATTTGCAAAAAGACGCTGCTGGAGACGATTTACCTTATATGGATTTGACTTGTTTCAACAACGATCTCAACGTTGAGAAGACTGTGAACGGCAAATCACGCGAAATAGAAGAGCTGACTCAATCAGTGCTGGAGAAAATCTTGTTTGGGAATCGACCCGCACAAGAGGCGGTAATATCGTCAGAATTATCAGTAGGCTCCAATAAAAAATTACAAGCAACCAAGAAAGTTTCGCAGGTTCCTGTACAAGTTCCCTCGCCCAATGTCGTAGTCACGCAGTCGAGACGAAGTAACAACAGCAATTTGAGGAATTGTGATGATGATTCTGAAGAGGAAGAGGACCTAACGATAGTGTTGTCGGAAAGTGAAGAGAGTTCGGTTTCGAGAAATATCGACAGCACGCCTTCCATTAAGCGTCCGAATACGCAAGAGAACGCGAAATCAACATCTAATTCTGCTGTTACTGATGAGCAAATACAACGTTCCAACGACGCGGATTCAGCAGTCGCATCAACCTCGAACGACGTGAGTATAAGTGCGAATTCAAATGCCCGACATAGTGTAATAACTCCGAGGGAATCCGCGAACACGCAGCTGAACACAAATGTGAATAATTCAAAGGATGACAAGATATCTGATGCAAATAAGACTCTCGAGAATTGTGTAAATCAGTCAAACGCGAATTCTTCGAAAGAATTGTTGCCGAAGAACGCCATGAGCTCCGTGCCAAAGTCCTTCTTGCGCGTCAAGTCCTTGGCGGAACTCACAAATAATCACTTCTGCCGGTTGTGCGGTATGTCGTTCGAATCCCGGCTCAAATTGAGAGGACATGTGCCGGCATGTACACATATACACAACTTGCAGTTGGCTCGTCAAGGCAAGCAAGATGGTCAAACATCTTCATCTGATAACGCGCAAGCCCGGCCGGCGAAACCGATTAATCCCGTGGTATCCGTGCCTACGACATCGACCCAGGATTGTCCCGTTTCTTCTGTAGCGTCGACCGCCAACGTGCCTCCATCCATCAGCGTGCGTCCGAGTGCACCCATCAGAGTAATTGATACCACCAACTCTCGACAATACCAAGTGATCGGTGTGAAGCCACTGCATTCGGGCAAGTCTAACACGATTGCAGATGTATCAAAACCGAAAGAGACGCTACCTCGTGAAGTGACGCGTCCATTGAACAATGTCAATGCTACGCCGCATAGCTCGCAGAAGACAGCTTATCATCAAAACTTGCCGGCTCATGTTAGCCATCCATTAAAGAAATCAACTCAACTTACTCAACAGCAACAGAGTACTGGCACCGTAGCAATTAAACCGTTCTTACAAACTGCTTATCAAACACCCAGGCCTCCTCCGCCACCATATCCACAACAGCAACAGCCGCAGCAACTGCAACAACAGCCGCAACAGTTTCAACAGTTACTACAAGCGCCACAACAGCCACAATTGCAACAACAGCCTCAGCAGCAGCAACAATTTCAAAAACAGCTGCAGCAATCACAACTGCAACAGCTGCAACAGTTACAACAGCAACAACAGCAACAACAACCGCAGCAACTACGACAACAGCAACAATTGCGACAACAGGTGGAGCAGCATCTGCAATACCAGTTACAGCAGCAGCAGCAGCAACTGCAACAATCACTACAACAATCGCAGCAACTGCAACAATTCCAACAGCAGCAACAAACGCAACAATTGCAAATCCAACCGCAACAACCGTTGCAACAGCAGCAACAGCAACAGATGAATATTGGTAATAACGTTATGCAATACGTATTATCTAAGGAGGGCCAGTCTTACCTATTGTCACCGAGCAACATAATACCAACGAGCTCGGATAATGTTATGCTTGTTCCCGTGAACACAATGCACCAGACCTCGAAGAATCCGGATCGCTACACCTGTTTATACTGTCCAGGCTTCGAGTGCGGCTCGGTGCAAGAATTCACGTTACATGAGCATTCGCCGAAGCACGAAGCCCGCAGTCATTACAATCGCGTTGCTTATGTACCTCAAGCGTAAACCGTCAGTGACATTCATATTTCTTTACATCCTCGGCACAAAAAAAGACGCTGAAGTTCAGGAACACTTACAGTCACTAACCGATAAAGAGAAATTCTGTACCATTTTAATTGACATTTTGATTGCGTGATTCTGATTGAATGCAATCGAAGTATAGTTTTTATGAGCTCTTGTTCCGCTAATGATGTATATAAATGCATTTTTGTCTGAATAGGAGATATTTCTGAATTTATTTGTCTGAATTAGACACGAAAACTTAACAATTGCTCTTATGTGATATTCTGACCAATCTTTTCAGCACATCTAGAAACGATATATAATCATTTTTATTTGTCTAAGTTGATTAAACGATACAATTTATTCTTATAATTAGTTGCTACTTAATCATAAATTGCGAGGATTTTGTATGTCATTAAAGAAGATAAAATACCAACAATTTAAATGTATAGACGATATAGATATTAATTTATATTGTAAACGATTATTTTTAACAAGTGCCACAATTATGATTTATATTTTCAACAAAAATTAAAATATCTCTTATTGTATCGGTGCTGTATACAAGTGTTCATTCACCAGCAGAGTATACTTTGCAAAATATTTTTATGTTACCAGATTGTTAAATTGCTAAAAGAATGACCAAACTATTCTTAGTACCTATATGTCAGGAATACCGTTCGCATCAAGTGCAACAATTGAAGAGTATTCTCGGAAATACAAAGACTAGAATTAGCATTTAAATCAATTTTAAATGGTTGATATTCTTTTCTTTTACAGCAACCTGTTAACAATAACGTTTGTATATGAGTACGAGATTAGCACAAAATAATACCGGATATGTATTTCGAGAAGTGGTTCGAGCGAATAACAGAACATACGTCTCTAGCAATTGCACATACTTCTACTGAAGAATAAGTGAAAGAATTTTTATAATGAAATAGGATTTCGCAGTTGATTCTATTTAAAACAAAGACTCAATCGCTTCGCCTTTTCTTTGATTCCTTACGAGAGAATTTATTACTCCAAAATAAGACTTTGTATGTATCTACTATATATACTTAGAAGATACGTCATTAGAAAATACATTATAATTAATATCAATACATTATCGCGATTTGTTAATGCTGTTGTTATTATGTAAACAATTTTAGTACTATTAAGATTTTCATTGGAAAGATTTGTAGATTTGATACATTATTTAAAATGTCTGTAATATAAAATTTGAAGGCAACGAAATTTCAGGAAGGTATTTACAATACGAAATTCAGCAGTGTGATAAATATAAATAAATATATTTACATTAAGTAAATTTTTCTTTGGCGACACTGTATTTATCACTTCTTTACATTTATATATATTTTTTATTGCGAACTATTTTTATATTTTGCAATCGTCAAGGCTTTTTAATCCATTATCGATTGAAACGTTGCACCAAATGTTGATCTTGCATTGAGTTTTTCGCTAAAGAAAAGTCAATTTCAATACTTGTCCATTTGTCCATTAAGGTTTCAGTTAATAATGAGTACACTTTCATTCTTTTTAATACATTTACGTTTGTATACTCTCCAAGATAGAGTATGGAAGAAGTAAAGTAATTATATATCAAGGATATTTAAAGTAATTATCTTTTTGAAATTTGTACTTTACATTGTAACAGCAGTATTGTACATAATATTATTTGTCCGTCACATTGCGCATATGTCTATAAAGGATTAGCTCTTAATTTTAATGACATATTCTTCGCAGACGATTTTCTTTTCAATCGCGATTTTGTAAAGCGAACTAAATAACGAAAATAAAATATACGATTAATGTAAAACAATTGACGAGTTCTGATAGAGCCTAATTATTTATTCTAGTTACTCTAGATTACCAGCTTTATTCCAGGTCATTAACATTTGTATAGCATTGGTGAAAATAATAAACAATTTACGTTATTTGTATCGTTGATACGGAGTTTTTCAACTCGAGATTTTGGTATTATTGAGATGTTAAAAATTTTGTAATTGTAAGAAGTACATATTACGCACTCCTGCGAACGCATACTGTTGCAAATTCCTATATTTACGAAGCGAAAGAGAGATGATTGCGAGTGACCGAATGTATCTATAGCGTCTATCTTGGAGCAATGCAGTGATTCACAAAAGTATTCGTATTCCTTTAATTGTCCTGAACATGTTTTAAGAGAGATATTGTAGAATTCTTGTCAAGAGGAATGTTATACCGCGTTGAATCGTGAGCTTTCGATTGATTTTACCCTTATTGAAAGATAATAATTCACTAAAACATAACTAACACTATGGAACTTTGATTAAATTTCTGTTGATATTATAACTATTATCTTTACATCAAGCTTATTTTAATCGAAAGTGTTTCATCAATGCAATATACATGTATTCCTATCGATAAGGATTCTTTCACATCTCTAGCAAAAAATATAAAGTAAAATTATTAAGTAAAAATTCAAAAGAACCCGAATACTTTTTTGCCACATGTGTACATACACATTTACATAATATTGTAAAACTTTGTACTGCATACTTGTAAATAGACACTTATCGAATATTAGAACTCGAGATTTCCGGAAATTCATTGTTGTGTAGCGGCAACTCGCGTTGCCGTCTTATTGCAAGGTTAAAGTTGAACAAATAACTGAATATTTTCTGATACCGAAATTATAACGCTGTTAGACTCATTGAACTTGGTAATATTCGAGATTTATTTATCGAATGAAATAATCTTTATTTTTAATAAAACGCGTTCATCACATTTCTATATCTGTCCTAGAAAGTATTATGATATATTGTCTTAAAATTTTGAAGATATCTTATTAAATTGTTAGAAAGATATCTCTGGTACGACATCTTATGTTCCTATTTATGATATCTTTAAGGTATTGTTTTAAGATAACTTTAAAACATTTTATGCGAATAAATTCTGATTCTATGACACAAAAAGCAGATAATTGATGAGTGTCAGAATAATTCGTGTAATGTTTCTCACTCTTAATGCCTATCTTTATTTATTTGAGATTATTTGTAGACTTTTCATGGGCGAAACAAAAATTAATTGTATGGAAACTTAGTAATAAGAAGAAAAACAGGAAAGAAGAGCTGATGTTAGGGGAGACCGGGGCTCGTTATCACAAAATATCTCTTATATGACATAGGTACTTTTTCCAAAGTTTTATTTTAATGAAACAAATTTTACAATAGAAAAAGAGAAAACTCTGATTCAAGAGGTGCCAAGTAAATTTTCGAGTGTTTCAAGATATCGTACTAATGTTCTTCAGCTTGAGTAGTAAATCAACAATTTATTTGAGAGAAAATAAAAATAAAATAACTGCAAATATACTTTTCTAAAAGCAAGATTTTAACAAAATTATGATAGGACACGTGGAATTTGACATGTAAAATTTTGACAGCCTTCTCACCGCATATGAGAGCATAATTGTATACCAATTTATATTAAAAGACGAAAATATGGGTGAGATAGCGTAAGTTAAAAAAATAAGTATAAAGTATAATATTGTACGATAAAGAATATTATTGTAAGATACATATGCTTTTGAATAAATATGTTATCGCGACTTGCGTTCGTCTCCTTTATTCGGCACTTTGAGCGACATCATTCATTACAGCGATTATTATCCTAGTCATTGCGATCATGACAAATATACTGTGATAACATTAGACACTATCATTAATGCGAATGATTTACTACGACGAAACATATCTAAAACAAATATCAGGTGAAATTCCGAAAAGGTCTCCGATTATCATGAGATTTAGTAAAAATGTCTTATAAATGAGTATATATTGTACGTGGAAAGATTTTAAATGTTGATTAAAGCAAATGTTTAATCTATCAGGAACGCTTCACGCATTTTGTATTATTTTACGCAAAACATTTACATTTCGATGTTATCTTGATCAAAACTTTATTTGAATTAATTAGATCCTTTCGAATATATCCCGAATGTAGTCTCGACGTTTGAGATATGTTCATCAAATTTCGTGAAAATCGGAAGGAAAGTCTTTCCGGAATTTCGTTGCAAATATCGGACGTCAATGCTTATTTTTTTCTGTCGATCTTAATGATGAACAATTCTTATATCAAGGCGAGCTTATGTGACTAACTTGTACATTAGCTGACCGTGTCCGCCAAAAAGATTCAAGGAGCTGATCGTAAACTCGGTTTGCTTTTCCAAATTTCATTTAGGTTCACTAAATTATATTTTCGAAAGATTTTGTGGATTTTCAACGGATCTGTTTTAAAATCTTGATCTTGATCTTGATCTTCCCAGCTTCAGAAAAAATTGTGATTATTGAATCAAAGAAGGATTGGATTCAATATCATAGCTGATTTTGTTATCGGGAATAACTTTAGATATAAATATTAGATTTAGAAATTTTTTCGCGTTGAATATTCTTCTCGACGTATACTCTCGGCGCGGTCAGGCCAATGGCATTAATTCTCTTTATCTTACGCTTTGGCACATAATTCACATTGCACAATATATCGATTGCGTAATTTATCCGAAGATGAATAATACATTTGTCGTATACACTACTAGTAAAAAGCGCTTTTAAGCGCTTTTTTCTCGAAACCGGTTTCAGCGGTTCGAATTTTCAATTAATTCATAAGTTAGTGCTGTCGAATGTTGCTGTTTTCGCTGTTGCGAATAATTTTATATATAAATTTCTTCGAGAGCATCGGAATTCAGGCCGACTCTAAAATTAAAGTGATTTAGACATTTTTTCGCGTTGAATCCTCCTCGACGTATAATTCTCTTTATATCTTACGCTTTGGCACATAATTCACGTTGCTCAATATATATCGATTGCGTAATTTATTCGAAGATGAGTACACTTGTCGTTATATATTACCTTATTATTAACTACTTATTAACAGTACATCGTGTAATACGTGACATAGGTATAAACGTGTACATTACAAAGAGTATTTCTTACAAAAGGATCCGATGGTCGCATACGCACGCGATCGAGGAAATGCTTAAGTCTCCGCGGAGAAAAAAGATATATATAATATGTATACAGGTGGCATATATATAAATATCATGAGTTACCTCATACGCAAACATGAAAAATTATATCACAGAAATGATAAAACGTTACGGAATCCAAGTAACAGGAGTAACGTTTATTAGACGTTATTTTATCCTTTGGCATCACTTTACTTGAGAAGTTTAAATATTATACGAATTTTAGTAAAGAAAACGAATTCACAGTGAAGCGTCAAGTATTTCATAAGAGTTACTTGATGTTACTATTAATTAATTAATTAATTTTAATACCTTATTAAATATTAATGTTTGCAATAGAGTTAATGTAGTTAATCCTGCAAGAGATGGAGAAATGCTTAGAAGAAAAGAACGCGCGTCGTGCGATCATCGAATCGTGAATTATTCTACCTTAAAGAATTAAGTACCACTATGAAGGACTTTCATTGAGTTCTTCACGAGTCGATTTTAAGTCTCGAATGCTCGTCTTCTTAAATTTAATAATACTGATGCAGGTATTCGATGTTCATCTCGCTCCGCTATATTTTACAACGCGCGCGTCTTACAAAAGTGCGCGTCTTACAAAAGTTTATAGAGTCTAAAGATGCGCGATTCGAGTATGAATTAAGTCTCACTCATTTTAAGTAACTACGATCATCTTTGTGCTAGTTCCTAAGATTTAATGCTTATTTTACAATAGAAAGGTATAAATCAGCGAGAGAATGGCATTTAGAAACGATATCATCTCCCGCAAGTTTCTTTTGGCTTTATCTTTACGTTATTTTTGCTCGATAAATATTAACAAAACTGCAGCCGAAATTTCGCTAATCATTCGGCTGCTTCGTCTACGATATAATAAATGTCTACAATACTGATAAATCTCTACCTGTGAAATTAATAGGAATAACATAACGAGAGATAAGCAAATATTTACATCACGCATAAATTCATGTGTTCTCCAACGGCCTGGATGATGGAAAAGGTATTTTTGCTATCTACGAAGTTCTTTTGCGATATAAAAGTGTCCCGCTATTTATATATGTATCAGGTGATTACTTCTAACTCTATCGTTCGTATTCATTTCTTCTAGATACATTATTGAGCTTGAGGAGAACGTTCCTCACTAATGTAACGCAGATTAACCGCAAGTAATCCGCGTTTGTGTAACTACACTTGTACAATATATTATTTGTGTGTTGTGCTGTACAATACTACGGAGCTAGGATATATCGCGTCGGTGGAAAAATATCGTACTTTCTTGTTGGCATATCGTAAATTTTCACGTGACACTCTCTGGACGTTCCGTTTATTATCAACGATGTAAGCTCTGCAGAGATCGGCTTTGGCGGAGCTTGGCAGCGTCGCTTTCTCTCACGACCACGCTTATCGGATCGTATATCTCTTCTTTCTTCTTCTCGAACTAAACTAAGGAGAAATAGTAAATGCGTTCATTTCAATTTCTGATGGTAATACATATTATACTCGGCGCCATGTAGACGTTACAGATTCATTTTAACATAACGCCGAATTGTGTAACGTCCAGAAACGAGAGAAATCGAAAAAAAAGATATGTATAAATTCACTGAAATGTGCTGATTTTCATAAGCATAGAATATAAGTATTTCGATTAACGTCGGAAATATAAATGATCAAAATAGTATGAGGCACTTATATTAAACATTCACGGTCATTGCAGTCGTTTAGAATTATTTCGCTAATTATTCGGCTTTTGGTCAAGCTTGTCGTTTATCGTTTATGCTTTAATTGTTTGAAATTATTTCACGTGATGTACCGCTCTAAATTTTATGCCCTTCTCTTTATCGAAGAGATTTTATTGATTAAATTTTTATCGATTAAGTTTTATACTATGCTGTGAAAGGATCGTTCGAGTGCTTTTCATCCAGTTCTCTCGTCTTTGACACCGTAATTTAAGATGTTCGAATATATAAGTGTTGCATGTCTATCCTTAAGGTATTATTATGTACTAGTAATTAACTAACTCATATTAAAATTGTTACAAATGCATCGAAACCCTTTTCGATTATACGCCTACGCGTATATACATCGGGTATATACGTATCGGGTGTGCGTATGTACAAAAATTTTTAATATTTAGTATTCATTACCAATTAGCCAAGCCTCTTGGTTTTTTAACAAAATCATAGATTGGCCGCATTGGATTTTGTCTTACTTTAAGTTTAAGTGGAATGTTGCGAAGTAGGAGATGTGTGATTTACAAAATTGGTTACATCAGCTACGAGCTATTTGGTTCATTTGGTACATGGTTGTCAGTCTGAAAATTGGTAAGTGGGTCCTATGAACTATAAAACGCTGTTTCTAGTCTCGCATTATATATATATAGTGTAATATACAAGTTCCTAATTAATTAAGAAAGTATCATTAAAAAAGAAAGATATAGTCAAAGTATAGTAACAAGAAATTACTTAATTGCGAAAAAGGAACGAGTTACTCCACGTACATAAAAAATACAATAAATATCAAAAGACACGCACAACAAATAACAAAGCACACATACGCACGCATGGTAAAACGAATTGAAACAAATTCAAAAAGATTTACTTCCATGATTACAAAATTATAATTATATCAATTGAATTCCTAACAATTCGTTGTGTAATTTCACTTAACTGCGGCAAGAAACTTTAACATCTCTTTATCCAGAAATTATTCAGAAACAAGTGAATAAAAGATATATACATATATATGATAGAATTAAATGTGTACTGATCGACTTCAATGTACTTCTATTTTTAAGATCAATTAGCTTCACACATGTCGTATGTCCAATTCTGATAGTAATAATAACTTGCTCTTAACTTTAATAAGACTATAAAATATTTTCATTAACTTGGTTCTTCATGAATGAATATTACTCAAACCAGGGAGTGAGATGCGATAACATAATAGTAACAGAAATTGCAGCACGCAAAATATCAAATGTATGAGTGTGTAATGCATTTTGTATCGAGTCGAGTAATACAAAACTCTCAGTATAAATTCTATTGACTAACATAGTGGCATATGCTGACCATCTCATCGATTGAGAGACTCAATTTCTCAATATATACATATATCTTTTTTTCTGCATATATAAGTAATAAATTTGTGATAGGTCTAGATAGAATCCATTGCATAACGAACAGAATTACAGGATTGAGCACGCTGAGAGAGTGACGGGGGCGGGTTTTATGATTGTCCTTGTTGTTTCGCGTTCTCCAAGTGTGTTTTAGAAGAGGGACGTAACAGTGGAATAGCTGATGCGAGAGATTTGTTCTATATAACAAATATAATATTCTAAAATGAAATTATACGTAATGTTCTCAATCAAAATAATCATCGTTGCTCTTATTCCTTCCATTTAGAGAAATGTTTCTCAATGCCCTTTTTTTTTTACAAAATCTCATACTCTTAATTTTACTCTCTATCTTCTATCTAAAAAAAATTATATAATTTGATGATTGAAAAAACGACGGAATCTTTTGCATCAGCTGAACGTAACGATGTCGACATTTGCATTTTAAGTGTTTGCAAGTATATCGTTTTCGGTTCTGGAGATCCTAGGAACTCCGTTTTAGAACCTGCTGATCGCTTCGTCATCGGTGACGAAATAATTAGAGCTCTTTGCGGCCGTATTGTACATGCTGAAGGTGGGACTGACAATCATGCTACTCGTGTGACTGCTGAGCTCCGTTTCGTTCATCGATGAGTGCCTGCCGATGGTGGCCAGGCGCTTGTCCTTCCTTGCTAATGTCATACGGCAATCCTCCGGCCTCAACGGCATCGACGGGTAATTCGGTTGTCTGGCGAGCGTCGTCAACGATCGGTCGCCTGTGTCATTGAAGCTGCGCAAACGTTTGAGAGAATGACCGGAGAGAGTGTTCGATAATTCGGACCTTTTAAAGTGGATATTCAATTCTTACGAATTCACTATAAAATATTTTCAACAGCACCCCGTCGCGTTATAGAGAATTATAATATTTTCATTGTACTTTTATTTTATATCATATAATTAATAATTTTCAATTATATACTGATTACATATGTAATTCTTCTTTATGATACTATATATATGTGCTATATATATTTTTTTAATTTATAAATTTAGAAATGTTATAAGTGAAGAAGAGAAATACTTTGGAATTTTTGTAGTTTACAATATCATAGGAATATCTCTTTCTTTGATTCTGCAATCTTTGTATTTAATTCCCAACGCTATGGACGTAATTTTTCTTTGCAATACGAAGGGGTATAGATTGAAAAAAGTAAAGATTCTGGAATCTTTTTTTCTAATTTGCATTATTCGCTCGTTCCCTCATAGATACCTGTGATGTCGCACGATGCCTCTCTTTATCTTGCAATGCTCGTTCCCGGTCTGTCCCTCAGACGCGGTTCCGTGGGTTTTGCATGCCTCTACTCCCGCCGCTGGCACGGGGGACAGGGATCCCGGTCCGAACGAGCCGTTGCTCTGTCTCCTCTCCAGAATGTTGACCAGCTCCACTGATGGTGTCGGCGAGAATGTGCTCTGAGGACTCGCGACACTAAACGCCGTCTCATGGGAGCTATGTACCGGAAGCTATGGGAAATCTATTTGAATACATACTCCAAGAGCCAAGATTGCGAGATCGCGCAGGATCTCTCTGAGGACTCCCCGATTTTCTCAGGGGCCTCATTCTCTGAGAATCTTCCGAATCCTCACTATTCTTATTGACGAACAATTGTGCCAAGCAATCAAACATAGGCGTAAAAATAAATGTGTAAAATTCAATTAAGTAATCTAGACAAGAAACTAATAAATTTTCTACATCTATCGACGAATGCCAATAAAATATTTCAGAATCAAGCACGTTGCTAATAAATTCCTTTTTTCTCAAAGTTCAACGAAAGGCCGCGATACGCGGAGAAAAACAGTATAAATCAACAAAGATAAGAATTCATCAGCGTATTAAGATTAAATACCATGGGGAGAAGTTACGTATGGAAGATGCTGCGGGGGAATATCCGAGATTTCTCCGCGGGGGACTCTCTATTAAGGAATCCCCTGAGACCTCGTCATCTTTGATGGACAATCGTACCGCTGATAAATAAACAAACATACACATACGTAAAACCAATACATAGAATTTAATAAAATAACTCATACAGATAACTGAAGATATAAAACAAAATGCGCGCAAAAATGAAACGGCGGCCCGACTTGTCGCGGGGCTTCACAAAAGCGACGATTCGTGAAGGTCGTCGCTCACCTGCAGCGACGGTCTCCGCAGCGTGCCGCCCTCCATGCCGACGAGCTTCACCCCCTTCACGCACTTTCTGGGACCGACGCTGGCGGGCGGGTTCTCTTGAGCGTTTGCATTATACTCCATGTTGCTCCTGTCGACGATGCTGATCCGGTCGTTGTTCCGCGTCTTATCGCTGCTCGGCCCGAGCTCGCAGCCCACTTTGGCGTAGGAGGGAGCGCACGGAGCGATCGGGGTCGCCGGGATCCCGATCGACCGGGTGGGCGAGAGGATCTGTGGACCGATCGTGGGACTGCGCAGATTTCTCACCGCGAGGATTTGATCTCTGCACGCGTCGTTCTGTAGCGGCAGTATCGGCGTGTACAACGGACTCGCCATGGAGACGTGCCGCGCCGGCGTCGGCACCGCGCTACGCAGATTCTGCTGACTCGGCATATTGTGGTTCGCACGTGGCATGATCGTCCCGATGTTCTTCATTTTCGGCGAGGCGAGATTGCTGACGATCATCGCGTCGCCGTCGCCGCGATCGATCGCGTCCTCGTGGCCGCAGGTTCTTTCATCGTCATAAACGTATGTGCCGACGCCGTCGCAGGAATCTATGCCCGACGTCGATTTCTGAAAAGATGGGTGTGTCATCGATTGATTGAAAGTGTGAAGCGAAGGACAGTTAACTTGCAATTCGCAATTACCGAAGATGAATCCATGAGAGCGGCGCCGGAGCTGCTTTGCACAACGCCCGACGATTCTTTGGACTTCCCAGGCGAGTATATATTCAGCACGTCGCAGCATTGTGGAAAGTATCCTTTTCCGAGCAGAGTTCTGGCGAGGAAACTGGTGAAGAGCTGAGTGAAGAGGGCGATTATCATGACGGCGGTGCGAAAGGGGAACTTCTGAGTGCGCGTCCTCTTATCGTAGAAAGGATATTCGATCAGCGGAAGTATGCCGAGGCCTCTTTCACCGCCTGAAAGCATTCACGCGTTTACTTATGAAACCCTAGTAGATTTCTAGAGGATATTTCAGTTATCTGAGAAGACGTTTTTACGCTTAAAATTAAAAGGTTTTGAAAAAAATATTTAAAAAATTGTTAGAAGTTAAGAATGTTTCTCAATTCTGCAATAAAAATTCAAAATGTATCTAAAAGATATAAACGATAGAACAAAGAGAGAGAGAGAGAAGAGTCTTTAAGCATTGTGTGACATTTCTTATTTGTTGTGTTGTTTATATTATTTGAGTGATGTTTGATAATTAAGAATTGTAACTAACCACCGAGACGCAGGACGATAGCGATGAAATAGCCCGCTAGACAGCCATAAGTATCCACCATACTAGGCCAATGAATAACGGCTAATAATTGCGGAAACAGAACGACGTAGACGAGATCGGAGCACAAGTACCTTCGAACAAAAGTGCGGTGTATTTTAGTACATCGATCGTTACAATTATTAGATCTAAAATTCATAATTGACAAGCGGACTAATTTTTCGAATAAGCACTTAAAATAATGTAAAAAAAAATAAAAACAGAAAATTTAAGAAAAGAACAAACTTGTTGAGTGATAAAGATGCAGCTGAAAAATTTTCTATCGATTATCTTAAAAAAAATTTAATCTTTTTTCAAATTCGCTCGTACGCGAAGTCATTGCGAAAATTATCGGAACATAATAGACACATAGCGCAAGTAGATACATCCCATAAAAAAAATGAAGAGAAACGTGTTTACTTACGAAAGGTAGTAAACGCTGCTGACCGTGAGGGCGACGAGAGTGGACAGGATAGAAACCGCGATTACGGAAATTCTCAGGACCCAGTTTAGCTCACGCTCGGACGCCTGTAACGAAAACGTGGCTTCAATGACGTTTGTTGGCGCCAATCGTTTGTCGGTTTATCAGCGTAAGTTACGCTTACTTTTGGCCGTATCGTGAGTTTGTAGACATTCCTGGTAAACATGGAGCTGCTGGCGAGTATACTGGAGTCCGCCGAGGACATTACTGCCGCCGAGATCGCCCCGAGACCTTCGGAGATTAACGCATTTGCAAAAAGTGAATTCGAATGTTCCTCTTACGATCGCAGAGAGAGAGAGAGCGAGAGAGAGAGAGAGAGAGAGAGAGAGAGAAAGTAATTTGAGGATGTACCAGGACCTACCAACGAAAGAGACCCATTGGGGCGTGAGATACCGCAGGACCATCGGCAACGCGGCGTTTCCATCGTCCGTGGTGAATGTTCCGTTGTAGCCCGGGACCATGGACCAGTCGGTGGCACGTGCGACCACCCCGATTACGGCCGATGGTACCGCGAGTATCAGGCAACCGAACATCGAGACGATTGATAGAGTCGTCGCAACGGAAGTGCTCTTGATACTCAGGATTCGTTGAAAGTAACCCTGAAGAAGAGGAAAAATGTATAAACAGTGTGTCAAATTTTTGCTACAACACTAAATTACCTTCTAATAAATAAGTAAAATAAACAAAGATTATCTATAATTATTTATATAGTAATTTTCTTCAAATGTGACACGAGACGTTTTTTGCAATAGTAGCGCAAGGCTCTAAGCTGCATGTTCGTTTCGTTTCAAGTCTCTCAAACGGATAATCTTTCGGCTATATATATACATACAATTTGAGCTTCAACGTCGTTTACAAGTCACAAAAGAATCAATAAGTTATACCTGCCAAGGTATACCGCCAAACACCAGCAGCAGCATACCGTCCACCCACTCGCCCAGGTCCTCATTCTTCACGTGTCCCAGCCAGTCCTTCGTGGTCAGATTGTTTTCGAACGACACCGCGGGGTGCACCATGGAAAACGGCGCCGCTATCACCAAACCCACCAGGATGCACAGCAGTTGCAGCGCGTCGGTGCACGCCACGGAATACAGCCCGCCGAAGACCGTGTATCTGAAAGGCAGCACATTCCGATTTTCGCGTTTCTCGTCTCGCTTGTAATTCGGTCTCGCCAAGTTACGCATCGAGCGTCACCCTGCATGGGCCGGTATTCCTATAGATCGTTCTTATTTAAGGTCTAAACCTTAAAGTAAGTACCCTAAGTACACGCGTTATTTTTAGTATAATAGTCACAGGTGGGATCTCTGCAGCGCAGTATAAGTCAGTAAGTAGGTCCACTCCGTGTCGGCACTTTTGATCTGATGGCCCACCATGATGTTGAAGGTGAAAATCGTATGTCTGTCCCCTTCTCCATCCCGTTCCGGGAGAAGGACAGATATACGATCTTTCTCCTTCTCCATTTTATTGACCGCCATATTGTTGAGTGTGCAAAAAACATTTCACGGGTTTTCTCGTCTGAGTGAATAATTTGGCCGTATTGTCCTCTGAAATAGTCTGAAAAGAGGCAGGAGCTAATAAACATAAGAAAGAAGACACGAGTGAATATACTGTATCTGCTTATACTGCAGGGATTCCCACAAGTTTTATTGTTTTATCTAAAAGTAATGTAAGAAATGTGAGTTTTCGAGTACATAATAAAACACAGCTGATATCTCGCATAACTGAGAAAATACGTAACAAAAATAGCGCTTGGGGTCCAACCAGACCTCGCCCGCGTGCAGTTAAAGGTTAAATACAATCTCAAGATATATTATGAATCAATTACGAAGCTGTACTAGCATTTTAAGATATATACTCAAGATATATACTCAAGACTTGAAATAAGAACGGACGGATACGTGATCCTCTGTCTCTGTTAAAGCGTTGTCCTTACATGGCTGCCAAGAGCGCGGACGCGCAAACACTGATGTTCGGATCGACGCCGGCGACGACCGCCAGCGAGCTTCCCAGCGCTCTCAGGACGGCGCCGCACCAAAATAGATCGCCGCAGAGCGCCGGAAGGAAGAGCAAGCCTCCGACGCCCGCGCCGTATCGTTCTTGAAAGGGATCCAGCATCGTCACGTACTCGGCCTTCCTCATCGGGCGCACGAAGAGCAGGGCACCTGCGATAATTCGTCGTTTGGAAAGGTGACGTTTATCAAAATGATTAAGCGCGGATAGAGCGAGGTCGGACTCGATAGATGATGTAAAGGAAAATGTGAAAAATTAAGAGGAAGGGCTCACTTGCGGTTTAATTATTCAAGTTCTATTTTTGCGATCGTTATAGTCGCGATATATTTTCTGTTTTAAAATATCTTTTGACATTTCCAGTGAATTGGGTTTACGGAGGCCAAATCGGGAGATCGTGCGACGTACCGAAAATCAGGCTGAGGCTGTACCCGATAGGCACTTGACACCAGGCTAGACCCCTCGTGAACATGGCCTCGGCGGTCCCGTTGACGAAGGCTCCTCCGACCCATGTCGCTGCACATATACAGCGGTGAGTCGCAAAAATATTCATATCCCTTCAATTGTTGACTTGAAATTGATATTCTTTTAGAGGAAATTACGAAATTTTTATCGATAAGAATATATGGTTGGTTGCATTAAATTAAACCTTTTCATTCTCATGTATTGCGACAACTGTCGGGATTTGCTACGTCAACAATAAAGTACGTCGGCAGAATTTTTTGTCCGCGTAAGCTGCACACGTATAAATAGCGAAGCGAATGCATGGTAAATTATTCCTATCTCGTTGTCCGTTTATACGAAGAACGGGAGGGAAATGGGAAAGATAAACGAATTGGGAGGGACAGAGGAGAGGAGGGATGGGGGTGTGCTTGACATCGCGTTTTTCTACGGATGCATATCGCGGAGTGGTCATTACGGTAATGGAGAATGCAGAGATATATTCATTGCAGGGGAGACCAATGAGAAAATTTGAAACGATTGAGTGAAAACGAGGAACGAAATTATCAGGTGCGCGAGTAGTCCGTAAAAAGCAAAGTGGATCAGAAGAAAACGAGACGAAATCCACTTCAAAGTTATAAAAGGTCTTTCTTCTCGAAAATTGGGACTAGATTAAAAATAGTGAAGCCCGGAAACATATATCGGAGAGCGCGGAGCGAGAATTAATTTTGAATAAGACAAGCATGGTGCAACCAATGTTCCCTTTTACGGCGTTACACTTTACAATGCAAGGCGGTTGACACATGTCGATATCGGGGTCGTGCTTTTCGCGAGATAATTTCGTAAAGTCTGACGGATATAACGAACTTGGAAAAGAGGCGGTTTCTCTCGGGCGCGGCAACTCGCGACAGATTATCAGCTCCGCGGAGTGATTTCAATGCCTGCAGAAGCTGACGTCTGCGCCGCAGCAATTTTTTAAAGTTATAGATTTTCCATCCACGAAATCGGGAATTAATTTTCAGTAATATCTCTATGCATTTTTTTTAAGCGGCACAAAAAGATGGCACGACATGTATTAAACGTCGAGAATGAAAAAAATGTAAAAAATAATCACGTAATCAAATTCCCGTTGAGCAAAATTTGACTTCGAATCCAGTCGTAGAGGAACTCGTAGATAGAGCTTGTAGGCATAATTTTTCATCGTTCTCTAATAATATCCATAATTTCAACGTCATGTAGATTGATCCTTGACCTTTCGAAACGTTCCGAAGCAGGAAATCCACATAATAGGTCTGTCATATATTCTAATCGAGGTCACGCGTCTGGTGCGATAAATAGACGCATAACTTTTTTCGTAACAAATTTCGTTCATTGTTACATGAGCGAGAACATTAACTTTCGCGAAAAAAATCAGGCAGGAAAATTCTTCTATTTTAATTAACGCAAAGCGAGTTTTGCCTCAATATCATCCGAACGCGGAATTGTCATGGGACGCGCAGCGCGTAACGAAACGATCTTACAAAAATTTATTTATCTTTTCCTTCTATTTGTGAAGATTCTTGGGTGACAATTACCGATAAGGGTGAGAACGCCGAGCAGGGGGCCGAGGCGTCGGTTCGCCAGCATCATGTCATCCTGTAGATGGCCCTGCGCGGCCTGCCTTCTCTTGAACGCCGCAGCCCATATGCCGACGGCCAGCACCGCGATGTAAAACACAATCACGCCGATTACGCCCGTCACGTACACCCCCATCCTCCTCGCCGCACCGTACGTGTTCGTTCTCGTCCGCTTCCGGATGTGAGCTCTGCAACTGAATGATTGATAGTAAGAGCAGCGTAATAACTAGCGTCGCTAAACGTCTACAGAGAGTCGCAAAAGTCGTATTCCCCTCCCCTTCCCCTTGAACGTATTGACTTAATTTGATCACTGATTCAGTTATCGGTGGTCCCATTTCTGGAAGAGGGTATTACGGGATCTCTATCGACAAGAACGTATTTCAAATTAAGCTCTCAACGGATACCGGCTATATCGAGAAATAATTTAATAGTTCTTTGCGTATTCGTCACTTTTGATACGCTTTGGTAATTAGAGGCTCCTCTCGAGCTTCCCGATTATTGTATTCCTACTTTTTGAAACTCCTTGTTAGAATTATTTATACTTATCGAAATTTACAGTAGCTCCTAATAAGAGTCGTTTGATGCTAGATTCTTTTATTTCTTTCAATAGCTCTTTACGAGCAATTTTAAAGAAGCATTCAAGATGTTCCTCGTCATTGGTCGCAACATAGAACTATGTAACACAATAACAGCGCTGTAATGGTTAATAAACAACCGGATGTACGTTGTTAATAGTATTCGTCATACGAGATTATATGTGTATCGTGACAAGTTTGACGCGCGTTTCGTGTAATATCCAATACGACTGAATATTTTATTATTATCGTACATCTCCGAGTGCTTCCCTTAACGGTATAATGTTTAACAAGTCTAATAATGGGACTATTACATTTGTCCGGCAATAGAGTAGCACGGAGGTACACACGGATTAATCGGATGTAAAGCCGCGCTCTCGCGATCGATACCGCGTTAATTATTCCGTCTTCTTGATTAACATTTGCCGTACATATAAGCCCGCGTAGGTACCGTCTCCGCTCGTTAGTCGATACAAGGAGCTTCTGGCCTTTGATATTTAAAAAAATTGATATCCGCCGTGGACCTTCGACAGAAAGGCAACACGTTCCCGGAGAGAAGAGAACATTAATATTATCGGAAATATTAATTTACATGTCGTATCACGTTACGTTAGCACACTGTTACCGTTCTGACCGCGTAAAACCGTCAAAAGAGATTCGATTTCACGTAGAAGCGTGTAGATGAACATGTATACTCCAATATACTTTTTTTCTGTAAAAAGATATGTATAGCGTTATACATATCTGTACCCTAAAGAATCGTATTTCCAGTTCTTGTCAAAATTAGAGTTAATATATATTTTTCCAATACATATAAAGAGTTTAAATTATATAATGATAAAGGATCTTATATGTCTATTATTACTAGTTCCCAAGACACAATGTTCAGAAAAAGTCGTATTAGAAATTTTCATAGAGACAATGAGTTTTAAATCCTGTTTTCTCTACATTTTTAATAATGGAGATACGATTCTTCACCTCTAAGGTACAGATATATATATATATAATATATGACCCAAGTTGCATGACGTAAATATGACGTAAAAAAATTACATAATGACGTCTACCTTAACGTCACCTCGCTACTTTGGAACGCAGGAAACTTAATCGATCTTTTAAGGGCAAATTTTACAGGACGATCAATATGATCTCTTTCCAAAGAAAGATCGCATGAAAAGTTACGCGACGCCGAGTTACACGTATCCTCCGATGTCGAGAGAGAGAGAGAGAGCTCTTTTAGCCGCGCGCGGCAGCTCCTATGACCGATGACATACAGGTTGACATTTACTATTGAACACATTTCGCGGGAGTCTGCGCCGAGAGAGGCGGCCCGTCGCGCAGAGAGAAGAGTTAATCGAGCGCGACACGGCAATCGCAATAACGCGGTTTAAAATTCAAGTGTGCCCCAGATATCGGACAGGATGGGTCGTGTAGGGTCGTGACCCGGGCTGAAGCGCGGCGCACCGCGCGGAGTCACGTATAAAGTTCAGCCGAATTCCGTGACGGTCCTGCATTATTAACTTGCGCTTAGAGACGGCGCTCGCTCTCCGGGGCGAGAGAAGCTGACGTTGACGGACAGCTGGAGTACGTGCGCGCACACGTGTACGTGGAAGAACTTATTCGCACGCATGCACGAACGCGCGCGGAACGTAAGCGGGTTGCTCAATGAGAGAGAGGAAAGAAAGAGCGAAGGAAAGATATATATTTTTGTTCGCGATATTCGCTGAAGCTATCTCCGGCGGGGTAAGCGAATTTTCAAGTACGAAATGTCGAGGAACGATGTCAACCCCTAAGTAAGGTGCCGGATGTTCGTGACGTTTCTGTCTCTCGCAAAATTTTCACGCAAAATTTAGACGGTATTATCGCGAACGTTTGAACCGATATAAATTGGAACGCGCGTGTCGCGGACGCTCTTACAGTTCCGGCGTAAATAAAAACCGTTTGGAGATTAAATTATTAAAGTTGCCGCGTATACGTTCGCGCATACGAGACGAGCGTTTGTTCCTCGTTTCTCGCAGTTCGAAAACTATCGGCACGTTCTCTTTTAAAACGCGCCTTTAAAGTGAGCTTTTACGTATATACGCTCGCGCACGTGGACAGTTTTAGAATACAACCGCGTCAATTGATGATCTATTTAACATCCGCGCTATATAGAGACATATAGCACGGTTACATACTTCAATAATCGATAAACACGCCTGATTGCAGCGACATTTTTTACTCCAAAAATTGTATCTGACGGTAAGAATAAAATAAAAAGAAAATATAATTAGCGAGAAAAAGGGTCTCGAATTCAAGAGTGTAATATTCTTTACTTTAATTTAGAATTCATATTTCATGCAATAAAAATGTATTGGACCGCGTTAATCATTCTTGTGCGTTACAAATAACAATAAAATGAACGAGCGAGAAAAGTCTGCGAATTAAGCTTCGAAGATAAAAGTGAGTTGTGAAGAAGTCACCTATTTTCGACTTGTTTTTACGTGACTGTAATAAAGCCTCGAGTTGAGTTTCAAATTTAATCGTTTGAGTTTGGAGGGTGAACGTAAAAATTTATATGAGAAAATGCCAAGGAGCGCGTCTGCCTTTTTCTTGTTCAATATCAAATAATGCCATGATAAGTAAAAATAAAATTTACTATATGTGAACTTTTTTATCCATTTTTTTTTTAATTAAAAGAAAACACTTTAATTGTATAACTTAATTAAGTTCTGCAAATTGTGGTAGAGCGTATTATCAGCACGTTTGTGCCGCGACGCGATTTGATACATCAAAAGTGAACAGCGTGATTGCGCTGCGTGACACATTAAAAAACGAAACGATTAAATTATAAAAGCAATTTGATTTAATTTAATTGAGCATTCACCCAATAAATGGCCTTCGATTAAATTTTTCGGTAAGAACAACCAGCGCCAGATTGAATTTTAACTCCTTTATTTAGCAACAAATGGGCAGCTATCTCGCTTTAAAAACGCGATGCTGATGGTAGCGAGTAAATTTACTTCTTCGAGGTAGGAAGTAATCTTTTGTCGATAATGTGCTCACGCCTGTGATCTCATTATCTCACCGACGCAAAAATAGAAGGACAAGCTAATACATGCTTGATCGTGATGAAGGGTAAGCAGAAGCAGCCCTCAAAGGGTGTGGGAAAGCGAAGAAAAAGATGCGAGAGGCGACCGACGTTAATTTTAAAAAGCGTCTTTCAAGGCTGAACAATTATGGAAGAATTTTTCAACAGGATATTCCCAATTGAGAATATCACGGCCGGTTATAAAGGGAAAGAATAGAGGAAGGGGGAGAGGAAAAGAGGGGGAGGGGGGAGATAGAGAGAGATTATATTTGCTGTACCGTTGGAGAAGAAGCTCTTGAAAGGGATATAAAGCTCGTCGATGTAACCGGATGAAAATATAAACGAGATAAAAATGAAGCACGAACTATCATATATCGATTTTGACTCGAGAGATGCTTAAAAATAGCGAACAAAAAATTATTATTATTGTGTTTATATTAAGTAACTGTGCAAAAATTTGATTTACTGTTACGTTAGAGATCAAGAATCTTGAAATAATTTACTCAGATAATCAGATACTCTTTCTGTCTCTTTTCTCTTTGTCAATCTTCTTCTAATTTCTGATAGAACTTTTATGGCTACTGAAAGATGAAACGACATTGCTTCTCAAAGCATTGAATTGCTCCTTCTGCTCTGTTATGATTGGAACGAATGATAATATGCTGAACAAATATTACAAAATAATACAGCTGAAACCTTACATACATAATATATCATGTCATAAATATAGCTTGCCCAAAGTATTTCCATTTGAATTGCAGCTGTATGGTTGCCATCTCTCCAACGATACAAGAGACATAAATACGCGTTTCTAACCGCGTTAGCTCGATTTCGCAAAGGTAGAGACGGCGATGGAAAATTCAGTCAAATTTTGTCAATCGTCTAATTTTATCACACTTGTCGCCAATTGTCGAGGCATCGCGTATTCTTCAATGTACAATAGCCTCAAGTCTCGAAATTTACGTTAAACAGATCGTTTTAGCTTTTATAGGAGGTACGAAAATTACCTAAGTCCATTCACGGAATGCTAATGACACTAATTATGTTTTCCGGCGAATAACATATAATTAAATGTAAGAGCGTGCGGCGCGGCTACGGCACAATACGATCGTCGAGCTGCGCAAAAGTTTGCACGTAATATCGCCGTTAGCTGCAACACCCGCGTTATGAAATTAGAAGCGATCGGTTTCTGGCGAGGCTGAAAAAGAAGCTGCGTTAGGAGCAAGCACGTTGTATACCGGCTTCCAGAAATTGGTCGCTCGTAAATCGCTGGTAAGATTGGTCGCTGTGAAGCTTCCGCGAAAAGCGAGGACCAGCAATGATTCGTCCGGAGAGATGACCAGATGACTCTCTCTCTCGCTTGGCTCGCCCTTGCCTCGCGGCGTACGAGTAAAATCAGCGCGCGCGCGCGCGCGCGGTTTATCTTTAAACACGAAAACCGGGTCGTTCGCTGCCAACTTTTCGTGCCAGTCAACAACGTCTTAACGTCGCGAACGCCAAGTAGTCGCGAATCGATCCGCACTTCACTTCGATCCTATCCTCTGATTGCGAGATAAGCGAGGAAGAGGAAGATGCTTGCTCGCGCTATCTTGTGCCTCTTTCGAACGATCTCTCTGAATAATGTCCGTTTCTACCTTCTTTTCAATGCAGATTAACTTTAATCTCGGTTTAACTTACGTTTTATCTTTCTCTAATTCTAAGAAGTGGAAGAAGATGAAAAGTATGAGTGCGTCGGAAGTTTACCTGACAGTAAGTAGTGATAGTTCAGGTGGTATTCCCATAATAGACAATGTAATAGACGAGTTATGAAATTAAAGAATTGATTTTTATTATTTTTAATGTAAACAGCTATGTAAACGAGCCTCATCAGTTTGCATTATTTAAAGCCGTCTACACCCAATTTCGACAATTTTCGTAGAATTGCAGTAACGTAAAAGAAAAGGTGAAAAGACGAAATTGTTTACATTAATAATTCGTCATTGAAAAATACATAAAGCACCCAGTTTAATTAACTTTCAATTTGGGACATTATTATCATTATTCGTAACGTTTGCAGGAAGAGATATAATATTGCAATACTATCGATATGCCATATGAATACATCTCCACGTTGTTTCGTAATAATAAAAATATTTATAAAGTGCAAGTATTGACAGAAGCTGAATCGTTCCAAATGTGTAGCGTCCAAAATCGAATTTTGTGGAATTATACGGACGTGCATGCCTGATTGAAGTTTACAATGAGGCGTAGCACCGGGCAGGGTGCTCAAAAACTGTTGAGTAAACGAGAAAAGTAGAGAGAGAGAGAGAGAGGTTGGGAGGGTGGGAGGGTCGAAAAATTCCGAGTCGTACTACTTACCGCCGGCTACCCCAGTGAAATCGTGCAGCGCATCCCTCTCACGCGGACGTATCCATCCCGCCGCGCGTCACGATTTTCTTTCCGTCGCGACGAAAAAGTGCCCTCGCCCAAGGGAGGAAATCGGCTCCTCTCGCGGCACGCGGATACCCACCAGCCTCGCACGATCTCGCCGATCCGGGTGTTAGCCGTGCGACAGAGAGGGCCCAGGCAATACGACTGAGCCTCTTCTACGGATTCAGCATCCCGCACGGCTAACACGCTGGACCGCCACCACCTCGCTGGGGGTAGCGCGCGCGTCACGGACAAGGACGGAGCGCCGGTCACGCGCGCGCGCGCGCGCGTAATGCAGATGTACAGGGTGGTACCGACCGGAAAGTCGGATGATCCCGCGATGTGAAGACACGTCGGAGATATGGGCAACTTCTTTCACTTGAAAAAGCAATCAGCAAATAAACTGACAATCCCAGACATTTTTCACCGATCAATTTCGGCAAAGTTACGGAAACCAAATTATTTGGATTGACGAAATTTTGATAGATTTGATTGAAAAGTAAATTTAAATCGAATGTAAAAGAAAAACGAACACTATGGACGACGCAATTTTCGCCGACTTGAGGCTAGTCGAAATGATTGAAAGTAATAATGATAATTTCCGGACACCTTGTATATGAATAAAGAGCGAGCGAGTGAAAGAGAGGTAGAACTGATCCAACTAGGGGCCGTGATAAAGGGGGAGAGACGAACAAGAGAGAAGTATAAGCTCTTGCGACGTAGTAGGAGATAGATCTGTGTAAAGAGAGGTGGTGAGAGGCGATGTAAGGAGACGAGAGGGCGATGAAGGGAAAATTGGTAAAAGTAAGAGAAGGACAGTTACGCGCAGCGCAGCGGGTCAATGTTTCAGCGTGATAAACGATACAGTGTCAATGCTACGGGGCCGTAGATATCATAGAGCAGAGTGGCGATTTGAATTAGATTTTAGAGCCGCCCGAACAAAATTTCATATCGTGAGGCGAGGACAGGAAAAGATATAGCCGAGCGCGAGAGGGATGAATCCAAGAATATACCAAGAACGAATTGGATATATCTTGAGCTTAAGGCAGAGTCTTCGAGAGATTCAATCGGGCGTGAATATTAATAAAGACACGGGGAATGTGGGTTAGAGTAAAAGGGAGGATTGTGAGGATCGCAAATTGGGGGAGGGGAAAATACATGGATGGATCGATGGGCTTAAATATAGACAGATAAATAATTTTTAAATATGAAATTTATTTAAAAAATTCTAGAGCACGTAAGATCCCTTCTGTACTATTGTTACGTCAGATAGAGAGAAAGAGAGCAAGGGTTTATTAGAAAGCAAGCGTAAAATAATAGAAAAAAGAATGACGGGTGCGGCGTCATAATAATGGAGAATTAAAATACAATCTTACATCGATCAACTCATGCGAGAGGAGGATAGAGATACAAAAATGTGCAAAAAGGGTAGAAAGAGAGAAAGAAAGGCGACGCGAAGAGATGAATACAAAGAGAGAGAGAGAGAGAGAAAGAGTGGGAAGGAAACATGTTCATGTGCGGGGGCAGCCCCCGTATTGATCTGTTCGCGCAAACTCCTGGTTCTTAGGCTCCCTCCGCGACCGACTCTCGCCCCCACTTGTCTCCACCCTCGTCCTGTTTCATTCGTAGCTTCCAAATGCACGGTCCAGAGTTCTCTGGAGGTCCGACTATGATCCCGTTGTCTCCGTCGCTTATTTGAAATCCCAATTGACACACAATGACATTGTCAATATTTCTCGTTGTCTCGTTCACTGTTAAATGTCAAAGGATGAAATTTGAACCAATACTTTGAGTTAAATAACATCTTGTTATTTTTAACTCCCGTGTGTGTTGAATTTATTATTTTAATTTTATTGGCTTATAAGTTAAATTAACATTGTTTTAGATAAATTATCGACACGTTGAGTAGGAGTAGTGATGACCTATATGAAATGGTTAAGACTCAAATCGAGGATAATTTTACATTACGAATTTAACAGTGTTCGACTCCGCATACACATCGTCGTGGAAAATCTTCTGAAAATCGTCGTATCTCCGGCATCTATGATTGCGATTATCAAAATGTTGATACAACGCTAATTATCATCTTCTTTTCCCTATATAATCATTTACAGCTTCCGGATTGCGTACCAGCAGTTTCCAAGGTTTTTATCACAACCTTGCGACATTTTCCGATGTCTCTCGTCTTTCAGAACGGTAACGTGTAATTACGCGTCTCGCCGACGACGTTGAGGGAAGTGTTGAAAGTCACGGTAAAATCAGACGCTTCTGCTTTCTGCCAGACGCGCTAATTCTCAATCGGTCTGCACGGTAGAATTAACGCGCGTTTCACGCGAAGCTCCACGATAAAATGCTCGATCGTGCTCAAATGCCTTCTCGCACAGCTAATTGATGCAATTACCAGGCCACCTTGAAGCACCGTGACCCTGCTCCTCGGGTCACAAGCTTGACGGAGGGGCTGTCGCTGCTGCAGAGGGTGCGACCGATGCGTTTGTCGCTGCCTGCGTCAACGTCGATATCAACTTCTACGTGCTTCCATCAATAATATGTAGCTAGAACTTTTGCGACTTTAGCTGAAACTTAAATTGCAAAAGAACAGGTAGATGAAAAAAAAAATCGACGGAAATCATTCCGAAGTTGTATAAACGTGCGCGAGATGTCACGGTTCTACTCGGTATAATTTGTGGACAATTAAATTAATCTCTCTGAGAATCAAACTTTTCGAGAATTAAAAATTTACAAATTACGAATTCGTAAAACTATATGTTCAATTTTGTTTCATTTACCGATTTTTTACAAAAGGCGGGAATAAATTACGCGGGCACAACGGTAGCGGTTTGCGTCAACGACGTAGAGCGCGTTAACGATGTTGCGGTGGCGTGTGATCGACGGATGGGGAACAATGTCGTTTTCGTGCGTTGAACAAGCTGTATCGTTTTCGACCGTAGGCGGCCGGCGTTTAATTAAATGTTGGTGGGCGTCGAGCGGCCTAACGGGATGGGGTATTTTGTCGGACGGAGGAAGGGGAAAGACACGGGAAAAGGGAAAAGGAAGAAAACGGCGACGGGGAGAGTCGGGTGAATCAGTGCGATGGATCAGTGTGCAAACGCGAACAATTTCAAGGAAGAATGCGAAGTGACAAATTGAATAAGGTTGAAAATAAAAAGGTTTCAGAGAGGATGAACTCGAGGTGCTCTTTCAAACTCGCAATCCTCGCAACATTCTTCACAGTTATTGCGCCTTTTCTACTTGAACTCTCTGCCGGCGGCAATCTTATTGTCGCTGCATTATCTCTAACGCTTTCTTCTTCCTCTTCATTGATTACAATATTGTTCGCTCTTTGTACCTCGATGTACCTTATCTAGAATGCTGCAAGATAATTAGTGAGACAGTGTCAATGAATCGAATGTGAGTGAAAGCGAAAGAGAGCTAATACGATATTTGCTCCTGCCTCCTTCAAAATTCGATGATTCTCTTGAGAATCTCTTCCACAGCATTTTTACATATTCCATCAATAATACGTCATAAGTCTTTAGCGTACGGTATCTCTCGGTAACTGTTAAATATGTTAATAAAGAGAAAAAGAATGATCGCTCAAAGAGATCAGCAACGCAATCGTGGAAATGCTCTCTCCCGAACTGGAATCTTGCAAGCGGATCTTACAATCTTTGTGACGCATGATCAAATAACGTCACGTTACAACAAGCAACTCAAGCAAGCGAGATTGTATGAGATTACATCGTTTATAAATAAATAAGCATTAATAAATTGCGATAAAAATCGATTTAACTGTTGCCTTTATTGAAACATAAAAATCTTCGCAAGGTCGTCGTAAGAAATGTTATCAAATTACAAATTAATTATCTGCTAATTTGTATATCTAGAACATGATCTACGATATGCGCACAACTTATTCTATTTATTTTAGTTATTATGCATATATATGTCGCAGGAATTTCGTGTATTTTTTGTTATTATTTAAATTCTTAGAGAATTCACAAAAACCGGGATATCATGGAATAAGAGTTACACAATCTTACTAGTAATTTTGCAAAATCCTAGGTTTTGTCAGTGAAATTTGTGAGTTAAAATTTTTATTAATTCATATTTTATATTTATAAATATAAAAATAATTATATAAATGTATAATATATTTACATTTATAAATTATATTTACATTTATATTTATATTTATAATTTTTACTCATTCCACATTATCCCGGTTTTTTGTGGATTCCTAGGAATTTTGCAAAAAAAAAAAAAACAAATTACACAAAATCGCTGCGACATACATAATACGTGTCTTCATATGTATAATATGTGGTATATATACAATTTTTTTGTATAAAACATAAAAATAATGCTTTCGTATATAAAATGAGAACTAATACTATGAAATAAGGTAGAACTTAAAATTAGATTCTATAATATAAAATGTTACATTCATAATTTTATGTTATTAAATTTACTTTTAGTAATAAGTACACGAGATATTTATGTATTGAAATTTTTTGTAAAATAAAAATCGTACATTTAGCGTGTAAAATAGAAACAATATCATGAAATAATCCGTAAAATAGGTAGAGCTAAATAGATCTATTCTAGAAAACACGATAGTTATTAATTTCCTACAACGTCGTGACATTATTAGAATAATTTTTCGGATTGAATACAAAAAGAATACATAAAGATATTAACGTCTGCAAAGAACCAGAAAAGAAATTTTCTTTTTCTTAATTCGATCTTACAAAAGATATTTCACTTATTTCTAACTTTTTAGCACGTAGCTGGCTCTTCTTTATTCCGTCGTTACTTACCTGGCTTACCAGGACAATTACAATTACTTAATTATTCAGTAATTATAAGTAATTCAAAAAATTCTACATTATTATCAGGTTTCTAGCCTTCCGGAAATTTTGTCGCAACTTGCCTTATAAGATCACTCATTTCTCAATTTTGGTGGAAAGTAAACGCTTCTGATCAGCATCGTCGTCACCGACGGCACTTGTCTCTTATTGTGCAAAGCTAAATTATCGGTATTAACGGATGAGAATTCGGTGGCGACTTTTCGCGCTGTCAGTGTCAATATGTTCATCAAATCCATCGTTGTCCCGTGTTCATCCAAGATGTCGCACAAGCATTGTATATACCACGTGCCTTCTGAGGGATTCCTCCAGGTAAAGAAGCCTTGAGAATTGAAGAATTAGGAATTAGAATTACGAAATAAGAATTACATTGAATTACATATATTCATTTGTATATCAATTAATGGATTTATCAATACCCCGCGTCTGCTGTACGTTACAGTGACTACTTTTTGGCTATATTAAAAGTTTTTTTTTATATATCGCAAATCCAAGATTCTCTAACAGATTGAATTATTATAAAAACTGATAATAAACTTTGCATCTTTAGTAACAGAAACTCAATAATCAATATATATTAAAAATCATTCTCTTAAATACTGTGAAGCTAATAACACTATGTTGGGTTCCAACAAATTTAATCAAGTTATATAATATTTGAGCTAATATGAGAATTAAGCTTTCTTCAAGAAACATTTATAGATATTTATTTTTATACTTTATGTTTCGATATTCATAATTTAAAAAATGTGTTATTTAATTATATATAATATTACTTAATAATATTAATACAATGATAAATATTTAGATAGTTTGTTTTATTAAGAATGTTTGATTTTTTGTACTTATTTGAATTTACGTATTGCACGACTCCGAAAAATGCGTTTTTACATATCACGTAAAGCAATATTTTATTGAAGAAACAATTAGCTACGTACTGGTCCTTAGCGCTTTGGAACATGCATGCCTTTACAAAATGGTACAATTTCTGTACGTCATCTAGAAGGTATTAGGCACTTACCTTGAACCGAGCTGTGAGCTATCAAAAAATCTGCGTGAGTCGGAATAGCATAAGAAACTACCGAATCAGTTTCCGTTTTGATTAAAGTCCGAGGGGACAGCATAACACCGCTATCGGATTCGTCGCCTCTGCAAGCCTAAACAAAAAGCCAGAAGCACCAGGGTGAGCTAGCCGGATAGAATAGAACCAAGCGGAAATATATCACGATATGTCGATTCACGATATCACGAATGTAATTTCAAAATAGAACAGGAACTCACGAAAATGTCAGTATAGTTTTACCTGGATGAAGAACAACTTAGGCTTGCCCGCGAGGGTTATACATTTATCACCGGCGAAAGGCTTCCAAAGCCTGTCGGACTTGTAAATGACGTCCTTCGCACATATCAGGTCGTTTTGGACCCCGTGGGTTAGCGTAATCACGCAGAGGCAGTCATTATTCGTGTGGTCGACCTGACTCACTGTAACACGCACAATTGAACATCGAAATTTAATTGAATAAACATATAATTCAAATCTCTGCATCAGAGAGCGCAAGAATGATACACAAAGTCGAGACTTCAAGGGAGATGGATATAAATGAGTCGGTGCAAAACGTGATGGATATCGTTTCTTACCTTTCTCTATCTTATCTATAATCTCGCTGTGCGTGAAGTCGTGGCAAAGTTCAACGTCGAATCCAAGATCCCCGAAAGTTTTCTCCAATCTTTTCGCGTCCAATGCCGAACCTTCTCGCGTATCGTAGCTCAAGTCAAATTTTTCGTGATTGAAGATTATGCACATGCCGCGATTCTTGTGATTCATGTTATAGGATTCCGCGTCCTTCGCTACTGACGCGTATGCAGTGGGTTCTTTGAAGGTGCTGAATAAGAAAGCACGGAAATAAACAGAGTATATAAACGCTACCGATGCAAATATAAAATCATAATCCCTAAAAAAATCTACCTTTGAATGTTAATGAATAAAACGCAATTGCAAATATTTATAGTGGCGATTGTAAAACTGTAACTATCATGTAAGCAACATCAGTGAAATTAAACAATTTATTTATCAATATTTAACGTTTTTTTAATGATAACTTTAAAGAAGTATTTACGTATATGTTTAGAGAGAGAGACTAACGCATTTATTAAAAGTTGATTTTTTATTCAACTCCAAATTAATATTATTTTCGTAGTAATATTTTTATTTGGTGTTTGAGTAATTATTTCTCGATTTAATATCATTATAAAAAATTATTTCGCGCCGCTTAGTTTCAGAATTAATACTCCTGTAAGTTAATAATCCGTTTCCTTACCAAGCAGAGTCACTAATTTTGTTAAGTGGGACGTTATTGGCTTTAGCGTCGGTTGTGTCTGATTTCTTCGTCTCGTTGGATTGGGACGGTCCGGCAATACACAAATCGTCCGTACATTCTTGCTGCTCCGTTGACATCTGAGAAAATAAATGGCTTGCATCAGAAAAGAATTATGTTCTGCAATTTATAATTTTACCATATTAATTGCAAAAAAGATACGCGAGATAAATTCGAGATGTCTTTCATCGAGAGAAATTAGTTCGAATTTTGTGTCGAAAAATCTGTAAAATTACAGCTGCCAATTCTGATGTTATTTCGAGAGTAGAAGAGAAGAGAAAAATTTCACTTGATTTGGACAAAAAGTAAAAATGTGTATAACAATACAATTCTTGTACTATCTACACTTTGTCAGAAATAGGCATTTAATTAAATAATTTTTTTCTAATTTGTTACTCGGATAAAATTATATCTTTAACAAATATTTTATATGGTATTCTGATTGTAAAATACTTTTTTGAAGAAGTGGTTAATCGTGTAACGAGAATATTATTCAAATTATTATTTAACCGAGAAGGATAAGATTTAACTGAGAAATTATTTGAAATTAATCAAATACATTCTACATCAGTCCTAAATACATCTAAAAATACCATTGTTACATCTAAGACAATCCTTGGCCGGTATTCATAGTCGGATCTTATTTCAAGACCGTCTTAAGTAATGTCTTAAGTTGCTAATACGGTCATTTGATTGGCTGGACGGAGTCTTAAGACTGCCTTTGACTGGACGATCTTAGATATAAGATTCGACTATGAATACCGCCCCTTATATATATAATTTTTATCTGTTCGATTACAATTAGTACATTACGAAAGTCTCGCAACGTAAGTTTACATACAAAGTAATCCGTAGTAGATACAGATTTGCTCCGGTTTCGGATATTCCTAGCTTCAAAAACCGCAGAGTATTTTCTAAAGCATGAACTAGAATCAACCACCGAATTGGATCTACTCCTTGGCTTAACATTGTTCGTCTCCGTCTGGAAATATAAAGATTGACGTTATTTATTTATCTATCTAATTATCTGTTGAAAATTCCTTTATTTAGTACACGTACTAAAATAAAGAACCAGCAAATAATTTAAAAAGTAAAAAAGCTGAACGCACGCGTTCAGATAACGAGAAGAAAGAAAAAAAAACGAATGAAGAGAAAGAAGAATATGCAAATTATATCAAATACATATGCGAGTAAATTATCAAAGATGACCGAAAAGCGATTAATATAGCTTTAAGTTTTCCACACAAAGTATGATGCAATTCTTCAACCTTTCTATAAAGGTGCATCCCGAGGCTCTCTAGGTGGGAGAGTAGCCAATCAGAATAACTTCGTTCCGCTATTTCTCTGTTTCCTTGAGACCAGGCCTAAGCATCTTAACAAGAATCAGAAATTCATAAAACGTTCAAAAATAGAGAGTAAATGCGCTTATTTAGAAATTTATATAAATCTAAAAGAAATTTGCTACTTTTTAATTGTTATTTTAGCCCTCTCATTATTTATATGTTAATAAACCTAAATTCTACCAATAGGCGAGCTAGATTTACTCTATTAGAAAATTGTCGCGTTATTTGTATCATTAAAAAATAATAATATGCGAAGAATATGACTTTCATCTCTCGATTCATATACTGGTCTAACATTATTCTGTTTTTATTTGTGCGGCTGCTCCTTTTTTGTCATTGAGGTTGCTTGTCCTTTGTCGTTGCATTTTCTTACCTGTGAAGGATCTAAATCCTCGAATCCTCATTTTCAGGTTTCTATTTTAGAGAATAAAGAAAGAGGAAATCGCAGGCATATTCTGATACGTTTTGTTGACTTAAGAACTATTTAACGGAAAAACTTGAAAAAAACCCTGGCAGGTTGTCTCGACGCAGAATACGACGTTATCTCGACGAACAAATATTCCCCGTTGCCCAAGTAATAAATTGACATTATTTATCGTCAAAATGACGACAAATAACGTCAGCTATCTGTAAGGAATAAAAAGAAAGACAGAGAATGAGAATACCATCCGTTGTTGGTCTATTACTTTGTTATTACTTTGTTTGTTATTATCGGGATGCTGGATAGCTTAGATGACAAAATAGTCGTTTATCGAGCGACAGATACGGGTACGAATCCGGATGTTCCGTTAAGGTTTCGAGAGTAGAAAAAATTATACTCCACTTTTTCCCAGAAATAACAAGAACCATAGACAAGAACAAATTTGAGACAATTTGGTAATATCTTTGCATCCTTCGGAATATGAAAATCTCCAGATAAAAAGAAGAAAAAGGGAAAACCTGTCTCACTTTCGTAACTAACATTCCTAGTTTCTTTCACTTTACGCTGCGCTTCCAAGCTTACCCTGAATTCCTCATAATACGCGTGCACTTGAGAACGGGACATACAACGCTCCCCATACGCTTGTCTTAGCATCTGATAGGCATCGTGTTCGCTTTTTCCTAAGTTGACTAAAAACTTGAGATTGATGCGTTGCTCAAATTTATCCATGATTTCTCCGGGATCGCTTCCGAACACGCTTTAAAATAGTCGAGCGACCAATAAATTTGTAACTTAAAATAAACACGTGTCACAACGATTATAATAACGCTGTACAATAACTTTTGGCTTAAATTATTACAATCGGTAACATTCACTCCTAAACGTTCAACAACAAGTACCGACTTCTTTCCGGGACGTTCTAGCGCTTAAATGCGTCGTATTTGTATCGGGAGATGATGAAACGTGTTAAAGCAGGTATAGTTTCCATTTAGGAGAGAGGGGGGGGAAAAGCTTTTCTTCAAAATCGTTCGTCATTCTTCAGAACTTCTTGCACGGTCCATCTCTCCTCTCTCTCTCTCTTTCTTTCTGTTTTCGTTGGTGAGAAAAAGAGAAAAGATGAAGCGTGCAAGAAGTTCAGCTAAATAGGTTCAACCTATACCTGAAGAACGATTTAGCCAATTGGTAGCAAGGAGATTTTAGCAAGCTACTTTTCGGAAAACCGTTCGTTGTCGACAATGTGTTGCTCTGACGGTCAGTGTGTAATGTATATACATATATATATATACTGCGTAATATGGACAGCCTGTAAAATTACGCGCACCGCTCATTCAATCTCTCCCCGTTAAGATATACGTATAAATATCTTAAAAAGGAGTAGTAATAATTGACACTGACTGGCAATATAAAAATTCTTTAATTATCTCACGACGTTTCGACCGTCACTTTCGGTCCTTATCAAGTGTTCAAATTACATCGCTTCCTTGAATTAATTCCTTGAAGCGATGTAATTTGAACACTTGATAAGAACCGAAAGTGACGGTCGAAACGTCGTGAGATAATTAAAGAATTTTTATATTGCCAGTCAGTGTCAATTATTACTACTCCTTTTTATTTTATTCACTGGCGAAGAAAAGGTTTCCTTATTGGTAAATATCTTAAATTGATTATGATATATAATTATTTTTATTTTCATTATTATTATTTTTACTTTACAAGATAATTGTTTGTCACGTTTAAAGCTATATAAAAAACTATTAAGATTAAAAAATGATTCAAACCGCAATTTCTTTGCGTGAACGAAAAAATGTTAAAGACATTTCGAGAAATCGTCTTCATTTTTTTATATATAAATTGATTTCTTGTGTTATTCGACTTATAAGAATATTCAATTAAGATTGTCTAAAGTCGAATAAATTCCCTTTAAAATGACCTACTACATTTTTCACACAGACTTTACTACATAGACTTCCGATAATCACACAAAATAGATGTGGTATCTCATAATAGGAAACTTTCCTCTAATAACAATATATCTGGGAAATACTAAGGCACCGGCATGTCTCTCTTTTGTCAGAAGCAAATTTCACGTCGACAGCTATTAATATTAATGCTGATTCAATCTCAATCTCCCTTATCCATCTATCAAGTGCAATCTCGAAAGAAAGTAGCGATCGATGATGAAATCGGAGTCAACGGAAGCTCTCGATGCAACAAAAGCCCACAAGTGTGTTTCGCAACGAAAATATATCTGCTGTGTTTGAGCTACTAATAAGTTAGTCATCCTTTTACAGATTAGAGAAAAAAAAAGTTTCGCCAAAGCGATAGTGAAACGAAAAGGTTCTTTATCAATGATTCAGATCATCATTGGCAGGAGTGCCGATAATTGTACATATTTAAATTTGTGCGGCGTGACTCACGCTTTTTATTGTCTTTTAATGATAGAATTTCTTTTAATCGGTGTGAATTTTTCTTCGCCTGAGAACGTCATAGGGAGCTTACTGACGAATTTGATTTAGCACATTTTGTCGCTTTTGTTGTTGAGGCTTGACGTATAAGAGGCGAACAAAGAGAACGTGAACAAAGGGATGAGTAGGCCATTATGGCCTTCATAGAAGAAACGAAAGAAAGTTCTCCTATGCTAGAAATTATATAAATACGTAGACGCGCAAAAAAAAAAGCATTTTTTTACGCAGTACCGCATTGCCATTATATTGATTTTTAGTTGAGATAATGCAAACGCGCCAAGTTTAGCGTTTTGTAAAGACTAACGAATTATAAAACTATTTTTTTTTATTGCTGATTTCAAATAATTAATATATTATAATATATATTCAAAAGTAACATGATAAAATTTTTATTAACACAGGAGAGTTTTACAAGAATGAAGCACAAAAAGAAATTTGAATAGTAGTGTGTACTATCGACCTATTATTTCAGAATTGATCGTTCTTAGCGATGCGATGCGATGCTGTGTATTAACGTATATTATACTTCGAGCAAAATTGGAACGAGATCAGATTTGAACGCCTCGATTATACATACGCCTGCAATTCACAACACGAATACCTGTTGTTTACTTGAGTTTTCATTAGCAAAGCTGTTATCTTCTAATTAAACTTATATCGCGTTCATACAATGAAACACAATTATAATTATCGATAAGGATCCTACATATAAAACGTAATTATATATATATACATATATACATATATAAAATTGTCAATAAAGATCCTATAGCAATTTTTCTATTAAAAAAAAAATATGTTTGAAATCAATTGAGGGGGCGCAAAGTATTCTCTAATACTATAATCCCTCTCCAAGTTTAGATTTCGATGCGAAAGCGATCCTTATGTTTATCCACACAAAGGGACTGACTGCGAGACCAGAGTAGCGGCTGATGCAAGACTTATTATTAGACTTTTTTTTGCGCACACTTAAATCGAATTCGGCATTGCAGTACGTCTCGTTCCTTCGCGTTTAGCGACACGTACATCGAAAGTTGAGATTTGATCGATTTCGCTTTTCTCTCGCACGCGCTCGATTTACCTGTTGCGCCTCGGCATCGTCGCCGATCGCCAACACCTCCATCAGCTCCATGTCGCATGGAAGAGAAATTACCACCCCGAGATTACCACCACACACCGCGTATACGCGCTGCTCTCCTCGCGTCGTCGAAGGTTTCCACGATTTTTACGAACGGGTACCGCGCTGCGTCCGGATCGCGTTCGCGGAGGAAAACGACTGTGCAGGTCAATCTCGACTGATAAGTGTCAGATATACGTCGTCCGTGTGCGTGTGTGATTGCCGAAGTCCTATCGAGGTGGTCGGCTTATCGGCCGCCTTATCACGTTCGATCGCTATCGCGTCCGCTATCCGTCGCGAGCGGCCAACAAAAACGCGTGTTTATTCATAAAACCGCGTAGGGACCTCGTGACGCGGACGTCGCAGGATGCTCGCGGTTATGAGGCGTAATAATAGAACACCTTGGAAAGGTCACCACACCGTAAACAGTAGGACTGTTACCTACGATTTATTACTGGGAAAGTATCTGGGTCGGGATTTCATTTATATAATTTTACACGCCACGTATGTATGAATTTCTTATCATTCGTATATTGACATGTTTTGTCATCTTTATTGCCATTTTATGATGTATAATTTCGTTTGCACTTATAAAACGTACAGTTTTAGTATGGTTTTTTTCCCCCATTTTTGAAATAAACTAGTAGACGTCAGAAAAAAAATAATAGCACAAATAATAGAATTTAATAATAACTGTATAATTAAGAAATAAAGTAAAAAAAATAGTGATATTATATAAAATACTTTTTACGAAAAAGTATATTATTGATGAACAGAAAGTGTCTCAATGTGTCATTGACATAAACGAGTAGTTTCAGAAAAATGTTTATCTAAATGCAATTATCATTAACCCGTTGAGGTCACACCTCCTAAAAATAACGTAGAGGTCACATGAGGATACATCTTTTTGATGTATCGACTCAAACCTTGAACTGGAATTTAGTTTATGACTTCCTCTTTATAATCCAATAATTTGTTAAATTTTTTTATGTTGAAAAAACGCGAAAAAAAAACATTTTTTTCGAGAAATTTGACTTTTTTCACAAAAATATTCATCACAATTTTTTGAGATAGAGCAAAAAAACTTCCTGCGTATTACTCTCAAAATAGTATACTTTTAAGGAAAAAAAAAAGTCTGGAGTCTACTGGACCCCATGTGACCTCAACGGGTTAAATGAAGTCTATATTATTCTTCTTTAATTCGATGAACAGAATCGTTTACGATGAAATGTCTAACTCTTTCTGGGAAAAAATTGTTCATACATAATTACATATAAAATATGTATATATGTTTCCTTTCCTCTTGTATAATCTCCGTTCCTATTCAAGAAAAAATAATAATAAGAAGAAGAATCAAAAGATAATTTAATGAAGTTTGAGAAAATGAGAAAAACTGTTCATATATAATCAATAATCATACATAAATGTAGTAATTGCATGTAAAATATAATTATACGAGATTACATAGAATATTGTATAATTTAATCGCAACTTTTCTCAAACGTCGATCAGAATTTCGTGAATTCTGGCCAAGCCATTTTTACGCTCTTTCGAGAAGTCCCGCGACCGCGTCTTTAAAACTTCGACGCGATTGGCTTGATCGTGGCCTATCGCGATACATTTTGCCTGTAGCGCGGTTCCACTGGATCCAGGATGCACGCTAGCACGCTTCCCGTTTCCCACCCGCGCCGCGGAATTGCAACAAGGAAGAAAACATAGTGCGCTGTGCGAATAATTTATTCCGGAATAGGCTGCCTGCCCTCTCACTATTGGCCTGCTCGGCCTCTCCCCTGCCCACGCCGCAGGAGGCTGATCGGAAGAGGTGACTAATTTGTAAACGTCGAATGTAGACGACTGTCGAAGCTCGACCGTGTCGACCGTGACAAGCTGAGAAGGCGGACACCAGTCCCAAAATAGAGATCCTCGGCCTTCTGTCTCGCTACCTGATCCGTCCGAGAACGTTTCGCCGTCCCATTCTGTTGTCGATCATGTGCGTAAAGCAGGTAGGCGAAGAAAGTCGCGGTTTAAAGGCCGCCTGTAAACTGCGCACAAGCCCGATGCTTTGTGCCGGAAACATTAGGCAACATTAGGAAATGTAGGAGGGAGAGTTTCTGGCGAACTTTCCCTCGTCCGAACTTTTCCTAGCCGACCAATGTCGAAAAACTCGCCTCGCGTGACGGACGAAACGTCAATCTGAGAAATCAGCTGATAGAATTGTTTTGTGTCTCTAATTGTCTAATTGATTTCTCTCGTTACTCCCTTGATCGTGCGATGACAGTTGGCGTCGACTTCTGCTAGGCTATGTTTCTCTTCGCGTTTTTTTGTCGTGTCCGTGTTGAAATAGTGTCTTCCTCCTCTTTTCTTCCTTCTTTTTCCGGAGTTTTATACATATATTTATTTTTCAGTGATACACTAGAGGAGGATCTTAATTTTGATGAGGCAACTGCGATTGTAGCAAAATGCCTGTTACGAACCAACGCGTCGAGGCCAATCCTTGTCTCGACGCTAATGCGTCGCTCGGAATAGATGAAGCCTGTTTCAGCATACTAAACGAGTATTCCAGATCTGTCACATTGTATTCTCAGGTGTCGGACTGTTATCGGGTATGTATTTGACACACGGAATTCTTTATTGTGTTTGGGCTGTTTGAATAATGTCCTTTGCTATTGCAGTGCGAAGATGTACCGCAAGCTATCTTGCCAGTGGGAAAAAACACCACGTTGGTTGTACCTACGAAATATCCTTTGTACATATCTTACAAGGAGGATGATATCTACCGGTGTCAGTAAGTAACTCAGGAATGTACGAGCTCTATGATTGTCTTACTTGTTACATCTTATGCCAAAATACCAAAATATCTGATTGTCTTACAGGACAATGTTCGATTTTAAAGAGCATGGAAGTTACGGTTGGAATATTTCCAAGGAGCAAGGAGTGTGCTCAGAAATTTATACGATTCATGAACCGATAAACAGTTATCTTCGTAAGTAGAAAGAATTTATAGCAAACTTTTTTTTAAATCTTGATTTGACGAGGCTGGTGTGCTAATCGATGATTGTTCCTGTTGCAGCGATATTTGCAGCTTTTATGGTGTATGTTCTGTTAATGATTTTATTCGCCACCGTCAAAGTTATCGTGCGTGTGGTGAAGGGAAGATTAGCTCCGGATTATATACGCGACGTAAGTGTTTTTGCACAAATATATATAATCGTGTGCAATCACACGCGCCATTCTGGATGTAATACTATGCGTACTTTCAGGATTTGGATGAGCTTCAAGAAACGGAGACCCCGAACCCGATAGTCAGGACAAACAGATCTAGTACTAGGATCCGTTCGGTTGATACATTCCGAGGGTACCTCTCGTCTTTACGCGTAAAACGATACAATCATCGATCGACTTAATGCTAAATATGGTGAAAATATAATTTCAGGATTGCTATATTATTGATGATATTTGTCAATAATGGCGGTGGCAGATACGTGTTTTTCAATCATAGCGCATGGAACGGTTTGACAGTGGCCGACTTGGTTTTGCCTTGGTAAATTATCTGTACTCCTTCGCACTTTACATACGATTCCTTTCTACTGTTCATATTCTCACTCTGCGATTTCAGGTTTGCATGGATCATGGGATTTTCGATCGCTATATCGAAACGATCGGAGCTTCGTGTGTCGAGCTCGCGCGGGAAGATTATTTTGCGTTGTCTGCAACGCGCGGTTATCCTCGTGCTTCTTGGATTGATGGTGAACTCGATTCACGCGGAGTCGCTGAAGGATCTCCGGTTTCCGGGGGTTCTTCAGTTGCTGGCCGTTTCGTACTTCGTATGCGCCACCATCGAGACGATATTTATGTGGACGCATTCTCAGGTTTGAATTACATTTTCCCTTCTTTATGACAGCGTGTTACGCGTATCTGTGATGAACCAATCTGTGATAATTGATAATCTTTTAGGATGTGTTACTGTTCGGCCAATTTTCAATCCTGCGAGACAACTTGAGAAATTCGGCGCAGTGGTTGATTATTTTAGCGATTACGGCGACGCATACCCTAATCACGTTTCTTCTGCCTGTCCCAAATTGTCCAACGGGATATTTGGGACCTGGTGGTTATCATCAATTCGGAAACTTCTCCAATTGTACGGGAGGCGCAGCCGGTTACATAGATAGACTTGTGTTTGGCAGTCATATGTATTCCAAAACAGAAAATCCCGTGTACGGTACCATCTTGCCTCATGATCCTGAAGGTATATATATGCACGACAAATTTTATTCTTTCCAATAAAGCTCGATAAATTGTGTACAATACTATTGTGTAATTAACGTTTACAGGGCTAATGAACACGGTATCTATAATATTTGTTGTGTACATGGGTATCGTTGCCGGAAGGATTTTATTGTTTTACTACCAATGCAATGCTAGAGTGGTACGCTGGCTGGTGTACTCAGCCATCACCGTAAGTTCCAATCTTTTTTCATATAACATGAAGGCAACAGAAAGAAGATATACAATTTGAACGATTAATAATAATTGATATTAATATTCAGGGTATTATTGCTGGATCATTATGTCACTTTGATAAAGAGTCCGGAGTGATACCAGTCAGTAAGAAAATGATGTCGCTCTCGTTCATTTTGACGGCATCCTGCTTTGCATTTTTATTGTACGCAATCTTACATTTTCTTGTCGATTATAAACAGTATTGGAGCGGTGCACCATTCATCTACGCAGGTTTGTAACATTTTCTGCAACAATACATTTATAAAGTTCTAACTTTATTCCTAACTTTTTTTTTTTTTTTAAACAGAATAATAAATTTCTTTCGCCAGTATAGAATAACAATCAGAACATATAGAATTTTTTTTAACTTTAATCTTTTGTTCTAATTATTAAACTTTGTCCTTTGTCTCTTTTTTCCCTACAAAGTCAAAATATTCATCATTTCGTTCCTTTTATGCGTTAAGTATGCATCAACTAAGATAAACTTCATGTATTCATTATTTTATCTTTGTTTTAGGTTTGAATCCAATTACTCTCTATGTTGGGCATACTCTTACCATGGGCTTATTTCCGTGGGCTTGGAAACTTGTGCATGCTACGCACTGGTCAGTCCTCGCTATGAATTTGTGGACCACAACTTTATGGGGTGTTATCGCATATTGGTTGTATTTAAAAGACATTATTATATCTATTTAAAACTGTCAAAGGTATTGTTTCGTGATAAAGCGTTATAATCCTGTATATGCAAGGGATTAGATAAATTATTACAGATTGCTATGCTTACAATGCTTACACGCGCTTATGAGACTGTATGCGATTAGGAAGTCGAATATTTCGAGAACAATGTGATGAGAGAAATAACGAAACAGAAAGAGAAGGTCTGATTGCTCTTCTAAGTAATCATCGTTTATTGACAATTGTAAAATTATATAAACAATGCAATTAACACCTCAATCATTATTATGTATAATAAGTTTTTGAAATAAAATTTTTATAAGATTTATCGAACCATTTTATATTTTTAACATTAATTTTGACAGAAGTAAATTTTCTTTTCGATAAAACAAATATATTACAGTATGAATAATAATATATCAAATATTTGTGTGTGGCAATAAATTATTATAAATAAATAAAAAAAAAGGAATATATCATCGTTTACACATTTCTGTCTTTGGGCTCTTTGTAGGGTAAATCTAAGAATTTGAAGACATCCTCTTCAGATGTAATTTTCTCCGCTTCTCCCGGACAACCTGAAAATAAATTTTCTTATCAAATCCTTCGAATTGCTACATTTTCACGTATTATTTACATAATGTTTCTCGTTCACTACCTTCAGCTGTGAGACGCTTCAGTGCATATTCATTCAGAGTGTACTTCTTTTCCAATGCATGTGCTCTCATATTCTTGTTAAACAGATCACTTCCCGTGAAATAGAGTATGGCGCAATAATATTGATCGTAAAACGTGAGACGTATGTCCAATCGTCTGAAAGGCTTGCTTTCATCCTCGGGTAACCGACACACTCCCTATACAAAAACAATATACAATTAAAAAAAAAAATGTTTTCCTCGCTTCTTGGGCATTATCTTATTTCAGTACCATAAATTTAGTAGATCCAAGCGAGATCGTGTCCGTAATCAGTCGTTTCTTTTCAAGACATTCAACAATTGCTTTTAACGATACGGCCTTCTTCTTCTCGTCCCTCGCTTTCGACGTATAATCAGGATGCGTCACGAGAACGTCGATATCGCCGCTTTCCTCTTTGCAGCGTCTGTAACTTCCACAGATGGTCACGAAGTAAGCCCTGTCAAGCTCCTTGATGGCACTCTTCAGTATCTTCTCTATCTGCGCAATTTCTGCTCTAGGTATTTTCTTCTCAAAGTCATCGAAGTACCTAAAAGAATTTGTCGCATCAGTCAAAGTGTCTCTCCGGTGTCGACGAATCAATTTCATACTTCAATCCCAGTTTCTGATGATGCGTAAGCTTATCCTGATGCTTCTTGAGATCCTCCAATGTCTTGACACCAGCGTCCACCAATTCCCTCGCTTTGGCAGGACCTATGCCAGACACCCGGGCTAACAGACTAATGGCGACATTAGTATCATCCTTCTTAATCTGAAAAGAGAACACAGTGTATAGCGATTTGTATATACGTTTCAAGTTCTCATTCCTATTAGCGAGACCGTACATCCTCCAGCTTCTGCAGTTTCCCAGTTTGTAAAAATTCGTCTATCTTCTTCGCGATTTTCGCTCCTATTCCAGGTAGCTTCTTCGCCTCCTCGCCGCTCTTGACTCTCTCCGTCAGGGCGCCCAATGTCCCAGCCGCCTTGCGATACGCATTGTACTTGAAGACGTTCTTATTGACATTACGTTCATAATCTGCCAGTTCTGCAAACGGATATCTCGTTGTGCACTCATATCGCGCATACTAAATCTAAACGGAATTATGCTCCCTTTTCCAAAATCGTCTTATAATCTGCAAGAAGGACGTCGCTTACCCGACAAAAAGTCGCACAGGTCCTGATTTGGATTGTTCGCGTTTCCCGTGGCCTTCCTCTTGCCCATTACGTACGAGAAAACACGATTCAAATTTCGAGGAAATCGATACAGCTTGTCACTTCTTAATTTCGTTCCACGAGTGATTATTTTATTTATATTTACGACGAAATGACCGGTGGAGCCAGGTGGAGCTTTCAAGGAGCGTACGTTGTTTGCAAATAGAAACCAAAGAGAAGAATGAGGAGGAGAATAATGATGGAGAGAGAGTGGTCATGCGCTTGACTGTAGGTAATGTGCGTGTTCTATGTATACGATTTTTTGATTCTCTTTGGAAAAAAAAAAAAATCGTGAATCTAACGGAAGAGGACCAAAAAATCGCGAACATATAACACGAAAGAGAACCACAAAATCGTTGACATCATCACAAAATCGTGGGCATAGCACGGAAGAGAACCACAAAAAAGGTGTACATTACCCACAGAATTCGGGTATACAGCCAAAACGCGGGCACGGACCACGTGGTAACACAGCCACGTGGTCTATATATTTTACAGAACATTATTTTAATAAAGCCCTTCGAGGGCGGATTTTTCCTCGAAAAATCGTCCAAAAGATTGTCATTTCGTTAATATTAATTAAAGAAATAATAAGATATAAGATGTAAACATAAAAATAAGATATTTTATAAAGGCGATATACAACAGATTCACTAGACTCACGTCTCAACATTTGACACTTTATTTCAGATAAATACTGTGTGTATACGGGTCGACACAGAGAAATATAAACTCATCTCACATCTGTCTAAAACGCGCTCTCTTGCTTAACAATTCTTCCTTATATATATTTCTGTACTTTGTGTAACATAATACAATAAAATCTCTTATCTCGTCAACCGCGAGAGAGTATAATCTCTTCTATTACCTTATTGACATTGCACAGTAATATATAGATTTCAAGATATGGATTTTCTCCTCGTGCTACCCAATGTGGGAGAGATCGTTTAAGTAACAGTGATGTGTGAAACGTTTGGCATGTCACGTTTACATGTATACACAAAGATTTCACAGCAGAACATCGAGATTTATAATAAATATCGCTATATATAATAATAATAATTTTACACCGCGCTGACTTTAAGGCTGAAAAAACAGTCGTTTAGAATACCGAGGGAAATCAGGAATACAGACTATACATTTCAGTCGTAATAACTTAAACACTTTTACGAGAATTTACTGTCGTTTATCTGTTCCTTTACGTTAAATCTAAGCTTACGATGAATATTGCTTAGATTACTAGTCACTCGAATTATAATTTATAATTCAGGTATCAGTCAAAGTATACAGAGCCTAAAGCCAGCGCTATTGTTCGATAGAATATTTGGCATTGCATTAAGTCTTGTCTGACGATGATTAAGGCAAATGAATATATTCGTCGTAAGTAACTTCGCAGAAAGGTAAGGAGGTTTCTTAAAAGCGTCCTACCTCGGAGATCTAAAATTTTTCAGAGCTAAATAAGTCTCATTGTAACCCAGTTGTCTCAACGTGGTAAGTTAGTAAACACTTATTACTCTTGTTTCCCTCGGGATTTAAGACAGACGGTTGGAGAACCATGTATAATCTGGACGGATCTTTGTACCTAATTCACAACGCCAAGTTAATTCACCGTTTAAACGCGTAAGTACTTCTGATTTGAACGCTAATCCTATACGGAAGGTATACGATTGTAAGTCGCATAGCTTTTTACGCAGCAGCCTGAGAGGAAACAGCAAATGGCAAGTACAATGACCAGTATACCGATAAACACGTAAGCACGTAGCTGCGGGAATCTGCCTGGCAACCACAGAATCGTAAATTCGACGGTCTTCTCTTGAGTATCTGCAACACACGTACACATCATGTAATGACAGATCTCAGAAGATCTGACAATAACTAACATATTGAAGGATTCGTACTTATGTAGGCGAGCCCGTAACCCATGTGCGGCGTACCCATTCTGTAGGAACAGGTCGGTATTTGTACTTCGTGAATGTCGCCTACGTCCATTCTTAATTGGTACAGAGGCGTTTCGTACGGCGGCAGGATCCAAACGTCGCTCAGCTGATCCGTCGCCGTGTCTAGACTTATGTGCATCGCTTTGTGTTCGTGCGCGGTAAAAATCACCTGCGGCGACAATTCTTTGAGTACCTGCAACAGACAGCGGCGCCGAGTGAGTCGTCAAGCACGGTAGGTTTTCTTCTTCCGTGATGACGATTCCTCATCTTTTGCAGGATCTGGCACTCGATTCCTCAATCGGCTTCGATACGGCCATCGATAACCAACGTCAAAGTCTTATATATTACGAAAGCACAAATGCCAGACAATACTAAGATGCAAAGTCGGAAATGCGTGTCTCTGAGTGTATGTAGCGTGTCACTGTGTGTGTGTGTCCGCAGTGTTGAACTTGAGTCCGTAGGTTTGTTAAAATCCGAAGGATTGTACGGATCAATCCTTCGGACTCAAGTTCAACACTGCGGACACACACACTCCCTGCGGGATTCGTAAGGCCTGACCGTACATTTTGCACAAAACTCCCGGGCGTAAACAGCAAAGGCATATGGCTAAGAATAACATTGGTCGTATTCCTTTCTGCGTAATCGTTCAGAAATGCATCCTTCGGTGCTTCCGGAATCGTGCGCGTCAATCTGTTTACCTAAAACGAATAATATTCGTGTATCTATCTCTTAATAATCGCGAAGATCGTACAGCTCGAGGATTTCTGTTTACTTTGAAGAAGGTGACGGTCTTGTACACCAAAGTGTCTGGCTGAGTATATGCAAAATTGAATCTCTTGTGGATGTTGGCGGAAACCCGATCGTCCTCGCCGCCGATGTCGTTGTCGCCCGGCAAGTAAATTTTCTAAAAGGAAACAAGATCGGCGATGAAACGCGCTCTCTTCGAGAAGGAAGAAAAAAAGAATAAAGATATTACACGACCAAAGTAAAATACCATTATGTCATCTGGCATCGAAAATATTGAATCCAGTCTCCTCTTGTACCTATCGAAATCTTCTGCATTGGCTACGTGACCCTCGTCCATGAGATCACCTAAGAAGGCAATGACGTGTGGCTGAGAAAACTTCATCGCCCTCGAAAAAGTTTTCTCTAAGTACCTGGTGAAAGAGCACAACGCTATGAGATCAAACTTAGGATTTATCTCGACAAACGATCCGTGTGTAGCATTTGATTACGGTAAAATTAATAGACGTTCGCTGGACCTACCTATCGCTGTCCCATCTCGCTATCCACGAGCCAAAGTAATTCTCATATTTTTCCCCGAGTATCTGCGGGTCCGCGACAAGAAGAATCTTAACGCACTCGGAGCATTCGCGCATGGCCCACTTGAGCTTTTGTACTTCGTATACGAGAAATTCATTGTAAAATATTGTCGCGAGAATAATGACGCTAATGGATATTACTCGGTGCTTCAACCTGTAAATAGTGTAAATTGTTAATCATCTACAATTCTACTTTTCCACAATATGTCGCATTGAAAAGTAACTCATAACAAGCGACACGAGTCGACACAAGTGTCGTTCTGTTTTTATTATTTATTGGCAAAAAAGAGAGAGAGACAGAACGACGTGTGTGCGTCGACTCGCGTCGCTTGTTGGAAAACGAAGCGTTACGTTGCGTGGATTACCTGTTTCGTCGTAACATCTCTGTGATTTATAGCATTATACAACGCTGGGTAAAAAAGCTCAATGACGCAGACCTGAGTTCGTTCATCGATATCATTAAGTTTCAATAGCAATCGAATCGGTTGGCACAACGTGACTCTTTTAATTCCTTTTAATACGTTTGGGACAGGATTATTTCCATCTCGCCGTGTCTCCAACTGACTGCTCCAGTTTGGCACAACGTGATAATATTACGAGAGGTTATGTGGTCGTGTGTAACACGAGGCGAGCATAACTTTCTACTCCACTATCTTATCGCTATTGATCCCTGAAACCCTCGGACACACGGACCCGCGTTCTTTATGCTGTTAAAGGTAATTATCGAAACGTGCGACGATCGGTTTGCGCGATCATGATTGGAAAAAAAGGATTGTTTACGCTGCATTCATTCAGTTTACGCTGCGTTCCCATTTCCCATATTTTTTGCCAGTACAGTACTGACAACGCAACGCGGCGCCGAGCTGCAAAAGCCGTGTTGAAAATTTAAATTGTTGTAACAAGAAAATTAAATAATAAGAAATAATAGGTTGTTTTTTTTTAGTATGGAAAAGTGTCTCGGAAATTTTTTATTATTAATCAGAATTTTTATAAAAAATTTTATTAAGACTTTCTCAGATTTTTTTACACGAACGATTTTCAGAAAAACTCAGCTAAAATGTTAATGAAATATTTTAGATTTTCCCTGGCAACGCATCTTTGTGAAAATCTGAATGAATATGAGAAAATTTGTCAGAAACTTTCATTCGGATACCGGAGTATTCCGAAAATCCTTTTCCAATTATTTCTGCAGTATCTGAGAAAGTCTACATATTTTTTCCAGAATTTTCATAAATCTAAAAAAATATGAGAAATTTTTAGAAAATTTCAGAGAAAAAAATATAAGAAATTTTTCATCAGGAATGTATCTATGGTGGACAATAATGATTATCTACATATTTATTATACGTTTAATTAGACATATAAAATATTTATTAAACACTGTGGACGACTGGCATGTCAATTTCGTGAATCCTTGACGCTTGCCGGGAGCCCCCCTCTGGCGGGCCCTCGTCAATGGTCGGCCCTGGCCGCAACATATGTCGAGTGTTTACATGCGCCGTCCGCGGCTCGCTTCCGCCCATCCGCCAGTACACCTACGCGCTCGTACAGGTTCGGTTTTTCGGCTCCTGGGGGGGCGAGGACGACGAACCGCGAACGACGACGACGACGACGACGACGGCAACGGGAGTCGAGTGAGGACGCGCGATCGTCGTGGGAGAACAACGCGCGGCGTCGTGGAAACGTGAGAGAGACTGGCAAAGAAAGCGGAGGAAAACAAACGTCAAGCCCGCAGCCCGTCGCGCGATCGCGGTCGCCGTGAACGATGGGTGGCTACGCGAGCAGGCTCGCGTCGATGTCGAACCTGGCCGTGCACAATGTGTACCGGGGCTGCAAGCGCAAGTACATCGAGGAGTACGACTGCGAGTCCGAGTCCGATTACATCGAGCGGACGATGCACACGCCGAAAAAGTAAGCTCTCGCTCTCCGGTCTCTCGCGGGCGTTTTTTAATTTTTCTACGTTCTTCTCTCTGTCGCTCTTCGGCCGCGGATTTGACGACCGACACGACCGTCGCGCGAGAGAGTTTTCGGCGTTTACACCTTCTGCGTGTGCTTTTTCACAGGAGAAAATTGCTGACAACGGCGCAGTACATATACAAGACCCTGTACCAAGAGGAGAAAGGCAGTGACATAACTGTCCTCATACTCGGACGTGCATGGAGATTGCATAAAGTTTATATTAGTCAGGTATGACTCATCCCTACGCGAGCCCCCTCTCCGTTGTCTTCTTTAAGAGACACGAAATATCAACAACAGATCCCATCGATGAATTATTATTTGATTAAAATTCGACGGTGCCTCGTCACCTGCTACAGCTTTTTATTTTTTTTTATATTAAATTTTGGAGACAAATCTTGGATGCAAACTTCGTTGAGATAAAATTTATTTGAAATTAAAGGAGAAATGAAACTTTCTTAGTTTGTATTTTGCAATTATTGGTTACAAAAAGTTCTACATTTTAACAGCTTGTAATATTAAAAACTGATGATATTTATAATGTTGTAATATTTTCATTAAGATGTCTATAATGTCAATTTCAAATTAATTATTCATGGTTTTAGTCATCAATATGTTTAGGATATGTGAAGAAAAATGTGTTCTTTTTTCCAGAGTCCATATTTTGCTAGTATGTTTTCCGGTTCTTGGAGAGAGGCTAACGAAAAAGTCATCAGTGTCGAAATCACGGATCCTAATATTACGATAAATTGTAAGAACACGTCGTGGAATTAAACAAATTACTCTGCAGAAAAATAACTAAGAATAATATGTGAAAAGATTTATATATCGTGTCATCTAGAAATAATATCTCAAATTGTTCCAGCATTGTCTGTGGTATTGGGTTCGTTGTATCAAGACGAGGTCAGTTTGGAGCCGAAAGACGTGGTTTCTATTCTGGCAACGTCTACACTGTTTCAACTGCAAGGCTTAATAGACGAGTGCGTAGACATAATGGTGGAGACTACAAACAGTGAGACTGTTGTGTCGTATTATAACGCAGCTGTGTCGTACGGTGTGCCTACGGTGAAAGCAGCTGCGAAACGATGGCTGGAAGTCAATCTGTTGGGCTACGGATGGCGACATCCGTCTTTTTTGAAGGAAATTTCGCCAGACTTGATGACAGAATTGGTCGCCAGTCCTGATTTGGTTGTTTTGCAAACAGAGTTTTGCATATACATGATGCTACGCTTGTGGTACGTTTACAAATGCGATACAGATATCCATATTTGACTTCTGAGAGTAACAAGTAATGGAATCTCTGTGTTTGTTGTGTAATTATATGCGATTGCTCTATTTCCAGGTTATTTGCACACCTATGCACACTGTATAATTACGAGGAGACGCTAAAAATTGATGAATATTTTAAAAATCGCAAGTGGACCGAGCCGTTTTTAACGACTGAAGAGGGCAAGGAATATGCAGCGCCTTTCAAAGCACTGAGGATGAAATATCTGCTGTTACATGAACAAGACGACAAGATTTTATACAGTGATAATTTAATACCACCAGACTGGCTGCACGGTGCTTACAGAGAACAGTGGCTTCACTTGTTAAGAGTGGATGGAAATAAAGACAGAGGGTAGGCTACAAGTGCTACAATTAAATTTTTCTTTTTTAATAGAATCAATATAGACGGAACTACGTATTTTCTGCTCCACGTGCAGTCCGGCGCAAATGACGGAAGAGGAATTTTCCAAGGAGTGCTTTCGGTGCGGCAGATGTGTCGAAAAGCCAGGCGAACACATTTGGAGATGGAAGGCATTCCATTATGGACTAGATTTATTAATGACTTTAGACACAACTAGCCTGCGGATTGAAAGAAACCACAGACTAGACTGTGAGCATATCAAGGCAAATCACAAAGAGCATAAAATTCTGATAAAGTAAGCTTTAGATCATCAGTTGATTGATTCAATACTTTTAGATCGAAGTTATTAACAGAAATATGAAATTTTTTTCAGAGTCTGTCTATTCTCACTGAATGAACAACGTCAAGTAAAACATGTCCAAGACTCGCGTATGTTAAGATTACGTTTGAGGAGAAACACAGAAGTAAGTTAGCATTGAAAACGACATGTGTTCTTATATGATTTATATGATGCGCATTACGTCACGTATTTAATATTTTCAGCACGAGATAATGACTCTGGACAAACAGTTATGTTATCCTCTGTACGTATCGGTCAACATGCAACTAGTCACTCCACTCACATTGGGAGAAGAAGACACAACGACCGACATACTTTCGGATACTTAGCACTTCGAGAATGTAATGCTCTATGAATATGTAAAGATAAAGGCCATGGGATCCAATTGACGCTTTGTAACATAATCTATTTAATTACGAATGTTAGACGAAGTTCGTAGGCACACGTTACTATTTGGCACAACACTTAAATAGAAAGAGACATGGATCTCCAGTAGAAACTTTTTTCTCTATGGAGATACACATAATCTATTCTTACCGTGTTCATTTTTAACAAGGTCTTTAGTCAATTTGGAGTTGACCTTTCAATGAAAATGTTTTATAATTTTTAAATTAACAACAAATAATAGACAGTTAAATTTATATCATCTAAATAGATAAAATCATACTTTTACAATAATTTCAAGTAGATTTTAGTAAAATTTTAATTTCATGTATTGCGACATATAATATTGGAAAATTGTGGAAAATACAAATATGCAAATTCAATATTTTTAATTAAAAAAAACCATCTCTAAATTGGCTAAAGAATCGGCCATTAAAAATTAACACGGTAGGAATGGAACTTTCGACATATATTTGTATATCAGTGTACATCTGTGTACATTAATTAATGCATTTGATACGGTTGATGCATTTGATGTGGTTCACATTAATTATAGCGGTCATTCCAACAAGCTTTAGTCACTAGGTAGATTTTAATCTTTCTTCGTATATTGAGAGACATCGCGGTGTATATTAACGCTATTAAATTATGTTTTAATGTGGTTGTTCCTAAACACGTTTTGACTGATTAAAATTGCATCAGTTATAGCCTAATAAGTTGGATACGATGCAATCGATCAAAATTCCGCTTATCTGTTTAGTATCTTGATTCGTTTTTTTTGTAATTGATTTGTATGCAACTTTGCAATACCAAATAATTCTATCAGAATGTTATTAGACGAGGACTGATTTTTTTTTCGATGTCCATTGACTTTGACTACAATTACACAATCTCCCTATCTTTTTCCGTAGTCGAGTAGCAAGAAACGGAGAACCCATAATTAAAGTTAATCGATATCGAAGGAAAAAAAACTTGGAGCGTTTATCGAGATCGAAGGTACAAGCAAATGAAGTTACCTGTTTTGCACACGCTTTTAGTTCGCAATAGTTTACACTTCGATAATGATCGCAATAGTTTACACTTCGATAATGATCGTTATCATTTTATTTGCAAGACTGTTCGCATCTCGTATATCATTATTGCAGTATTAAATTTTTGTTTACTTTTTTCAAAGTTTTATAAAAACAACTGAAGAACTTGAAAATAATTCCACGTGTTTTTTTTTTTTACGTTGTATCCTCTATTCGTAAGAAAACAATTGAGAGAAAGAAACTTCAATATCTAATTTAAACGTGTTGTTTAGGGAAATGGTTGAACGCTCTTCCGTCTTCCTGTCAGCAAAGAGTTTTTCTTCGGTGCCTTTTTAATATCTACTAAAAAGGGCGAAACTAATGTGTATAAGCGAACTAACTTTCATAATACTAAGATAAATTTTGTAGCATTTTCTTTTGTAAAAGGTTTTCTTACTACGACAGCTGTTCGGTGAAATTATAATAAAAATGTAAACACGCAGTTTATGCGATTTCCCATGTCACCTACCTTTATAAAACGATCTTTCCGACGCTTGTGTAAGAAGTCACTGTAATCTTATCGATTAGTAATATTTTTCGCGTAAATTTTGGAAACGAATGTCGCACAGCTTCAATCTTTTTTGTTTGACAGAATCTTTGCGACATATTAAACGTATGGAGGAAGGTCAAAATTCATGCGAGAAACACATGCCACTTTTATTAATCGTTCAACACTTTTATTATTGGCAGAATACTTTTTCTCTTTCTCTCTGTACATGATATATGATGTTGTAATGTCACTCAACGATGATCATTACGAACATATGTTCAATGAGGCTTGAGATACATCGCATTCTCTCGATACGTGTCGCAGGCAGCAACGGCAGTCGTACGAAAGATCGGAGAATTTCGTAAATTTCACATTTTTCGGGAAGATAACCAGGCCGATTTCGATCGATGCGACGTGTCATTAATTTTCGTAATTTAAAGCATGACGTTTCGACGGAGAGATATATTGCTCCAGCTTGAAAACAGCGACCTATAACTAAAGAAACTGTTACGTAACAATCTATTATACGCGATACTTTACAATATTATATTAATGTAATAACTGTGTCGCTACTTTCAAGATACGGCAGCTATTTTTTTTAGTATTAACTGTAGATTGACATTTCCTATTCTATAACTTTTACTTTCTTTTTTTTTTTGCAATAGAATTTTATCCGATCATTCGGCAACTACGGTAATTTTTCTTTCGCTCGGAGAAGATCGCGAAATTAATGTTCGAGCGATTCCCGCTAATTGATCGCGATGACTGTTCTATGTACAGTTTTTAATGCAATACATAATTGCGGAATATTTATATTTTTATTGCGATACACGATCGTCGTAGTTACCCCGAAAATATAACAAACCGCGCAGTTGTCGCGCAACGACGATGTTTCCAATCGCTTACAACCGATTGTTATTTGCGACATATATCAAAGAAGTACGAGGCGAATCGTCTCAACAACAAGAACTCCACGTTTCTTCCGATTGTCTGGGCTGTCCCGGACGAGAGATCGAATAAAAGTCAATCTCGAAACGACGAAGGAGACGAAAAAGAGCTCTTCTTGGAAGTAAATCTCTCACTATCGGATTTACATATGAAATCAGTTGCGAAAGCGCGCAAATAAACATATCCGTCGTTGTAGAATGATTAGGAAACATAAAAAAACAGCATCGATGCACCTATAAGGATATTTCAATCGCGATCTTATTCTATTACTGTGTCTTTCCTATACGCAAGGATCTGTCTAAGAAAGATAAAATCTGAATAAAATTCTTTCCACGATAAAATATAAACTGTAAGCGATACGGTTAGTTTTTTTTCCCCGATTAACGCAACCGACTTTTCATGCAAATCTGATAACAAAAAGTTTATCTTGTTCTAATTATTCTATAACAGGGAAGAAGGGAGTCGCGGACAATCGCAGGACGATCCGTTTGATGTCAGGTGGAAAGATTGTAAATTAACGAAGATCACACACGCGTGATTTCAGTGTTAATTATGTCGCAGAAGAATTAACACACTGGCGAACCGTGATTTATATTAATTTATAAATCTGTCACAATTGCCAGAATTAAAATCGTTTCTTCTATATCCACGTTATGATTTCTCCCTTTCTTCCCTATCTTTATTCACCCTCGTTTCCAATCTTATCGGTACCATCACGTCCGTCACGGTTGTTGCCACATTTGCGCTCTAATAATAATTATTAGCGGTATTATTTGTAACAACGGGTCGGTAATGTACGGTACTAACAATAACTATAATAATAATAGTAATAGTAAGTGATGATAATGATATCCCAGTAAGCGCAAACTGTCCGCAGTGTGTGGGAGCAAATTGATAGCAAATTCGATCAGAAATCGCTGGCAAATTGGCATCACCCGCGTTTGCGTTAAGCTCGTATTTTGCCGACTAATGTCCATTTCAATCAATGCGGATTAACTTTGATCTCGATTTAACTTACTTTTTATTTTTTTTTTCTAATGCTTAGAACTAGAAGAAGATAAAAGATAAATTAAACCAAGAAGAAAAGTTAATCTATGGAAAAGTTAATACATTGGTAGAAATGGACATAAACCTGCTGACATAATTCGACCGCAAGAAACCAAGCGGAATCTGTCGAACGCAGATTTTCTGCTTCAATTCCGTCTACATCAAGCTGTGCAGAAAACGTGTTAACATCCACTTGATTTCGACCATCAATCTTCCGTCGTATTTTATTGACAAATATCGCTATAATTCTGCCAACGAGCATTGTATACGCCAGATGCTGTATCGAATTTATATAAATCTTTTTGCCGACAAAATTTGTAACAGAGAACTTCGCAAAATCTGTTCTTAACAGACTTGGCTGACTGGGGGTAGTTAATAGCGACCATATCGATGGCGATAACGGCGACGACAGGTGGTAACAGCAGCATTAGAAATGATCACTTTGCAGGGCTGCTAGAGTGACATAATTTATATTGATCAAGCGCACCTACTTCGTCTAATTTCTCTCCCTCTCTTTCTTTTGTCAATAAACCATCTACTTTGTCATTATATGTTATTGCTCGTTCGTTACATTTGCCGGCACGTTGCTGCATGTTGCCATCATTATTACTATTATTATTAGCATCAGTATTATAGAGGATGTTCGATTATTGCAGTTTAGGCGCATACACATGGCAGTTACTATATAACGCTTTCTTAAAAATATCATGATTCTGAGTTATGAAAAGAAATGGCTTTCGACGGATTTTCCTGGTAAAAAAAATTCAATATTTTTAGCAATTTTTTTATACTTTATTTTGTGAAAATTTATTTAAAAAATATCAAATTTTTTCAGATTTTATAAACTTTCTTTGAAAATTATAAAACGAGAAGTCTTAGAATATGTCAGAATTCACGTAATTCATGTTGTAGAAGATTGCAGACTTTCCAAATAATATTCTAATTCGTATAAAAAAACCTGAGAAATTTTTTAACAAGTTATAAATTTTATATAGAAGTCCTGAAAAATATTGTATGAGAAATTCTAAGAAAAATTTTCACCATTATCTCGACTTAATGATACTTAACATAAATTTCCCAAAATCGTGAGAAAAACGTAACACCTCGTTGAATTTCGGCAACGAAGTAGAGCTTCAGTTTCCGACCTGGACCGCCGTTCACCACGACGCGCTTATGACCGAACATCCTGTATTTACCGAACACCTCTCCTTTCTGTCAGCCACAAGGCAAAATGAGCAATAACGAAATATTGAGGGCCGGTTTTTTTTCCAATGTCGGTTTCAACTGATCCCTGGGTCTATTATATTAGCGGCGAAACATGCACGCGTTCTAAAACGAGACAGAGAAGACTTTGGTTGGTAAATTATCGGACACTCGAAGGTGCAACAACCGACCCTAATTGAGCTATCGAGTTTAGCGTTACGCTCAATTAATTATTGCACAGACAGACGCGCAAACATGCCAAGCATTCGAAGAAACGCATACCGAACGGCGATTATTGTACGCTCAGGTGACTCAGGCTTAAACTACATTTATTGCAAGGTTCCGCGAAACACGGAATAATCGTGGACGCGACGGCGGACCTTCGATTCTTACAGCATCTAAATTGCGAGGTCTCTCCCGGCATATCGTCGATATATTATACCTATCCCCGTTCTTTACACAGCTCGTCTTATACGTAGAATCGTTTAAAGAAGCGGTACGTCGTATCCGTTCAGATTACGTTCAGTTTAGTTCGGAAAACTCGATATGATGTGATGATCGATTGAATAGAGACATCAAGTGAATCGGAGAGAGCTCCAGATGAACGTAACAATTTTCCAATAAATTAGCGATCATGATCTCTCGATAAAACAATTGTTTGTCGACGACGTTAAACTTTTACATCATCGTGATTTCTTGCTTCCTACTAAATTTAAAATAATCATTAATTTTGTCATTTGAATAAATTATAATATCTAGTTATGCAATCTGTATGTAAATTATTATTATGATGATGTATAGTTAAATTGTAATTCTGAGTATAAATTGATAATAATTTAATCGGACGTTTCACAAACGTTTTATGTAAACAGAAAAAACTATGTTATATTACGATTGAATTACGATGCGCGATAAATAATACTGAAGTAGACCGATTGGATCCGACGTGGATGCGTCTCGTGTTATATATCCCGTTCCGTTTCGCGAACGCTATGTGTGTCGTTGCACCTCTAGAAATAAGCATTTGCCCGTCGATCTCGCGTGCAATTCCATTTAGGCTTCCGACAACAAAATATATTTATTTATGTTACTTTTTACTTCGCGTGCGTATACGTACGTCGTAATTAATGCATACACACATACCGGGCAGGCACAGTCTCATGCACAGACACGCAAATCAGTGTTCAGCGGGTAGCAGGCGCGGGGTGCGAAAATGTGTTATCGCGATGCCGCTACTTTGCATTTTACTTGTTACCGTGTGAGACTCTCTTTTTTTTTGTTTTTTTTACTAATCATAAATTCTCTCGTGAGATATCTGCTTCCCCTGCTGCGCCTTTCTCACCCTCGATATTCACGCTCGTCGCGCGCGATAAGATATTCGGCTCGTTCCCGTTTACGAAAGTAGGTGAATCGACAGGAATCGATGGGAATGCGTTCTGCAGAGATTCACGATTTCCTCAATCTTCTTCTCGCGAGAGAACTGCGAGGACCTCGCAATTCGCATTTAAGAGATCGCATTAACGTTGCTGGAGAATTAATTTTTTAATGTACACGTTGAGAAGATAATTTGAACACGTTTAGAACAATGAGAGAGGGATCAGTAAATTGGTTGCAGAAAGAATTCTTAATCGATTCCTCTTAATCTACCTGTGCAAAAAATATCCTCTGTCTGACAGCCGATTTGAACCCGAATGAAAATTGCGCGACGAGCGCGATACACCGGCGCGGCGTAACACGAGAGGTGATCGATTTTAAAATCTTTTTTTCTTTCTTTTACGCAGAGGCCGTCGTATCGTTTTTGCGTTTTCTCTCATTTTTTTCCCTTTTTTTTCGCAGAGATATGTATACTACTGAAGTGTCGCCCTCGCGCATCTGGCAGTTATCACCGTTACGCTACGTTAATTAATCTGGCTATGTTACGGACCGTTCGCAGTCAAAGACACCGTCGGGGAGGGGAAGGGAGTCGATCTAAAATCTCTTCGTTAATAATGGAAATTTGTAACTATCTATACGAGAAGATCGCGAAGCGTGCGTCGTCTTTCATCCCTCGTCGCGTCATCAAGGCCTTCGTGCGGGATACAAACGCGCGAGAAATCCGGAGGGAGTCCTCGAAACTCACGTCGCGAAACCAATACAATCTCGAGTCGGATTCGTTGTACAATATCGGATATCCGGCTACTTCGGGACAAGAAGAGGGGAAAAAATTCGATCGCTCGGGGTGCGAGGTTTTTTTTTCGTTAGCAACGTGGAGATGATCGACGCGTCTCGATCATTGTCCGGCGCGGTTTAATTAGGCCGAAAGCCGGTAATTACGATACTGAAAGTCGGAACATCCTTTTCCCTCGGCCTTTCGCGATCTTCTCTTTGTGATCGGGGAAATCCATAGAGGGAAATTGACGCTAACGATCGACAGGGAAGGTCGGTTATTGCGAGTCCTGGGATACGAACGGTCCGTGGCGGCGCGACGACGGGCCGGAAGGGAAAAGGGATAGAGTCTCAGGAATCCTCGGGGTGCGACTCGAACGAGACTAGGCAGAATTAGGTCGTCGAGAGGGAGATACGGAGCGGCGCGGTCGGGCACGATAGGAGCAGGCTCGGTGTCGCCAGCACGGCAGTCAGGAGGGACGCCAGTGGCAGTAGGGACGGCGTGCGGAGACTCTCGACGGAGTTACACAGATCACCGGTGCACGAGCAGTATAGCGCGCGCACATCGTGGGTGCCGCTCCTCATAAGGCACTCGCCGTTGTCCTTCTCGTCCGTGATGTAGCCGCAGCTGCGGACGACCCTCACCTTGCCGTACACTGCAACAGTAACGGGGATCAGTATCGACCTGAACCCTTTACTAGTCTACTTGAACCCCCTCGCCACTATGTTTATTTCTACATTATGCAAATTAATTTTAATCTTGATTCAACTTACGTTTCATCTTCTTCTAGTTCTAAAAGTCAGAGAGAGATAAAAAAAAATTAAACCAAGATTAAAATTAATCTGCATTGATAGAAATGGACATTAGGGATTTATAATTGTTTAGAGATGTAAGATAAACTTAGATTAAACTTTAAATCTAAGATAGACTTTAAACGTGCGGTCGCTTATGTTTTAAATTTGTTCTTTGCCGCTCAATGACAGATGAATTCTTTAGATTTAGAGTCGACTAATTCCGAATGAAAAAGCTCATGTATAAATAATTGATAATTTCCGTTCAATTGCATTAATAAATTGTTGGAGTTATATTTATAGTTATAACATTAAAGTGATATTATTGCAACGCTTTTACGTATTATCTATAAAACGTAATGTGAGCGTAGGATGTCACAAGTTTGTGAGAGGAAAACGCGTCAAACTTGTTGATATTATTGCAACCGATATAAATGGCATTTAATTAAATAACGAATCGAATTTTTTAAAACATACGGGCGAATCGTTACGGTTGCGAGCTGCTATTCGGAAAATTAATAATTCCAAATTCATTAAATGTGGAATTAAATTAAATGGAGGACTAATAAGCGTGGACTACTTTGACAAATATAAAACTTTCGAAGCTTAACTTATCAAATGTATGTGAAACAAGCGAGGTTTCACCTTTTTGACTGATTTTTCGGCAAAGAGTAGGCTCTAAGTGGCTGAGATGCTCCAGACGAGGCTGAAAGCTGCAGTTCACAGTCCCCAAACTGTACGAATCGAACGGGTCGCCACATCTGGGGTCGTACTCGCTGTTGCATTGATAACATATTATCGCTTCACCTGAAATCAAAAGAAAAAAAAATCAATCACCACTTGCATTTGCCTCGGATTCGAATTAAGATCGAGTAAAATCGTCTCCCCTAAATCCCTAAAGGTATCTGTGATACTTTAACTGTGATACTGCAACGCGACTTAAACGGAGGCGACTCGATCTTGCGCGTTTATATGAAAGATCGCGGTGTGAGGATTAACGGTCCAGCTAAAATCTTCTCCCTCCCTTTGTGTTTTATGAATATTTTAAGGGGTCGTATTTCAGAGAGCAGAGATCTCGCCGACGAAATCAACGAACGTCAGCCGCGATGAGGATCAAATCTGGGGGGGAGGGAAAGGTCTGGTTCACGTCTCGCCCTTCTATGACGTAACATTGGCACGCGCGTCCCGGTGCGCATCCCATGCACGGCTATAGCGGGAACCAGCCAGGCTGATACGGCGCCAGCTGATATCGAACAGCGGGGCAAGACGCACGCGAAGACCTCTACCACTCAGCTGTCCCTCGCGGATCGATACGAAGAATCCGAATTCTTGCAACCGGATATGGAATCAGGCGATTGGGAACAAATATATAAGTAACGAATTCATACCATGCACTTCATCACCGCCGCTATATTAACAATGAACGACGTGAACTTCACTATCAATTCGCTTCGCACACGACCTTCGCTCGAGCTATCCTCTCTTCTTCTTTATGCATCTCTTTTCTATTTTACTATATTACTGTGCTATTTCCGTGTTATATCTTTTTTTAGATCAACGCATTCTAAAACAAAGTAGGATATTATTATGTGTTGCTATTTAACTTCCTTCCTGTTATTTCAACAAATCTTTGTACTCTGGATAATACATAAAAATTTATGTAAAAGTTTTCTTATGTTCTAAATATTCTTATAAAAAAAATCGAACGCGTGCATGTCGAAAAGTTTCATTATACGGTGAATAAAACTGATACTTAAATATATGAAAGCAGTATCTCGTCAAACTTAGAAGAAAACCAAATTTCATTGAAACCAAATTCACAATTGGATTATTCTACACTACGGATTTCATCGACAACAGATAATTTGAATGAATCTATATGGTTTATTTCGTTTGCATTATGCAATTGCATTTGCTCGCGAAATAAGGACAAATTCGGAATGGTCATTATTTGACAAAAGTTTATTCGTCGTTAACGAAACTGGACATACGTCACTTATGCATGCATTTTCTTACAAAATATAGAAACGCGCGCGCGAAATAATGAGATAAATATGAATATCAATGAAGATATTGAATAGATAAATAAGTAAAAGTCTGCTAATTAAAACTTCGCCATTATTTTCTCGAAATAAACAAATTAGCTTTTCATCAGAAATAATAAAACAAACGTTTCAACTTTCTGGATCTAAGTTCTCTTTGATAATGCTGTATGATTAGAGAAATAGAAAGATATTTTTAAAAGACAAGAGAAAGGATATAAAGGAAAATAGAGTAAAAATAGGGAAAAAAGGAATAATGCCATCGTGATAAGAAAAGCGAGATAAACAAAAACTGTATCGAGAGTACACGGGGCAAAGCAGAGGGGCGTGAGGGGGCGGTAAGTGAGAGGAAAGGGGTCGGAGGAGGAGAAAGTGGGTCGCTCGATAGCCCTCGCGACGATCTGGCTGTCGTAGGCGCGCTACCCTAAATTTCAACAAATTGTCGGATATAGCGCATTCATCGGATTCATCCGCGATATCTCGAGTAGTGCGCGGATTGCCGATGCCATCGTTAATTTCGTATCGGCAATTACTTCGATCGCTGCGCGCGTTAACTCTCGCGCTGAGCGCGCGTTAACGATCGACTCTCTAACTCGGTGTGCGAAAACGTGCAATGGTCTATCATCTGGGCCTCTAGGATCCGTCACAGCGCGATCGCTGCAGAAATCCGGAAGCGACGAAATCCCGCGTCGAGACAGTTACGTCGTCCTGATCGAGTTACGTCATTTTCGTCCGAATACTTTCACCTTTCACCTTTGCGCCGCTGAAAGTTACGTCTACCGCAAGCAGACGATCGTCCCGACGCAGGAAGATAACGACATCGCGTCTCCGATCGTGCTCTGTCAGACGCGGAGGGAAACGAATATCTATATTGTGGTCGTTTCCCCGATTCGACTTTTCCGCCGTCGAAGCGTCGCCGGATGTGTATCGACAAACGTCGACGGAGGAAAAAGTTTGCCCGATTCATCGGCGACGCGAATTTAATGCGAAACCAGGCCGCGTCTGGCGAGAACTTAATTCTGGAAAAAAAAGAAGACCGTTTGATTCTTAATTAAACGAACAATCGCACGCTATAAATAATGCAATAAATTAGAACAAATATATACAAATTTTTCGGAGATGCTTAGCGCAAGATATGCAACGTGTCGTTTTGTCGTAATAATTTTTCACAATTCTGCACAAATGCAATTTTATAAAGTTCCATATATTCCTAAAATAATCTGTTTTCAATAAAATTGTAGATACACGATCAAATAAGATTTAACGAGATTATTTTATAATCTCGCTAAAGCCGCGACAAACAGACAATTTCTTTTCTTAATTTGTCTTTGAGCGATATTGATTGAGATGATCATTCCATGAATACCCATGGGTAAATTCGACATTCCCGACAAGCGGAGTTATCGCGATATTTTTCTAGCACGGTGTTAATAGGATTCGATTTGACAATCGCGTACGCTCATCTTCGCGGCCCGAAGAACCACAAGTGCTACCGTTGTAGGAATTCGCCGACCATTATTCTTGCTAACGATATAATACCCGCGTATGACCGCCAACAATGCTATATATCGCTGTCTTCTTGCGAAATCCGTGGAAAGATACGAAAAAGGGCTGACTGAAGGAGGAAACGAGTTATTTCCTTCCAATCCATCCTGAAAAATAGATGAATTAAAAGGGCTTGAGAGACATTTCTCTAAAATTGAACGAAAGAAGAGAAAGTGTCTCGAAGTATCTAAATTTTAAGGGGTTTATCGATGATGTAGGAGATTCTTTTCTTGATTCCCGATTGCTTCTTGTAAACGTTAAAATAAACGGATGTAAAAAGCTATAAAAAGAAATTGAAACCAATCTCAAATTTCGAACATTAAAAATTTAGAACGTCGCGATAAGTTCATTTTAAATGACCTAATTTTTTATCCGTGGCACTAGCAGTGTATCTCAATGTACCCGAGAAGAGTATATACTGTCACAACTCGAAAAATTTTAATTTTGAATTAAGTACGTAAAAAGTATGCATAAAATGTTATCTACGTGCTATAATAGCGTCGCAAATCTAAATCCGTTGCAAGCGACGGAAGTGTTGTTATTTTTTTAATCTAATCTAAACCGGTTATGTTGCAGTTTCCTGAGCGAATAATATATCACAAGTTTACTGATAAATAAATCACAATATAAGTTCATTATAATAAAATATCGTAAATAATTTTGCGTTAATTATATCACAATGAAAAAAAAATTGAATTAAATTTGTTTTTTCTCTTCTAAAAATTGAATTTTTGAATTGTAACAGTATTGTTCTCGGGGTTCGCGTATAAAGATATATTCTGTAATTTCATTCATGAGAAATTGTGTCTGCAAGTTGCAACAACTAGATCTGTCTGCACAGTCATAAATAAATAATATAAAATATAACGCTTGCTTGCTCGAGACACACGTAACAACATTTAAATAAAATATCGCAAATACAAATCGTTACGTGGATAACGCGCGTCGCAAAGAGAATTTCTCTAAAATATTAGTAAAAAGACAGAGAAATCCTACGAGTTTTACAAGATTTGAATTTCAAGATTAGAAGATTAGAATTTAGAAAATTGCGGAACTTCTTAAACCGTATGTAACACGTTTTTACTTTCACGCGCATACATTCCTAGAATATTGAACAAATGTACAAAATCTCGAGATGCTGTTTCTCGGACGATATGAAACTTAAGGGGGAAAAAAAAGATGATTTAACGTCGCATCGAGATTAACTTGGATCACGAAGGATTAAACATCATCTAAACTTTCGTGTGCTTATCTGGGCTTTTACAACCACCCCGACGAGACGTCTCCGTCTGGGCGGCTCATTTACGGCGGTAACTTTCCCTGCCATCGCCTCTGCATTGCGCCCGTGATGTATACGACTCCTTTCCTCACTCCTTTCCCGAATAAAGTGCACGAGGTCGTATTATCGATCGTTCCTACGCTTTCGGACGAGGCAATGTTCAAAAGTGGCAATTGAGTCCGATTTATATCAAGTAAGTATGTTGAATTAAGTTCGTGCGAGAAGGACGAACTTAACGGGGGCTTCTACTTGCCTCTCGCTCAATTTTCCCACTGAAAGTCCCAAAGTGCTTGTCGAAATCCTGTGTACATTCCCCTGGGAAACATTAAACTTCTCTCTGTACGTTTGTCGAACAATCTCCTGTATTTTCCCGGGAAGTACCGCATTGATGGAAACTAACGCGAGTTAGACGATGTAGAACCGTCGGCGTCGTAAGGACGTCAGTCTATCATATATGTATAAGCGGTTTTAAACTGCCTTTCAAACTTCTTTCAGCGCTATTCCGGAAAGTGAAATCCAATTTCTGCGAAAATTCAATAATTAAATTTCTGTGAACGAGATGACTACAAGAGAGACGACCTATCTTTAAAAGAACGCGTTTAAAACACTTATTTATTTTACGCACTATTGAAGTTCGACTGCTAATGCAATTATAATAGCTATTAAAGTATCGACTGCTAATGCAATTATAATAGCTTTCAAATATAAAATATTTCTTATAATAGTTATCAATATTTTGTAAAACGAAGTAAAAGCATGTAAAAATATCAAATGCATTTCTCAAAGTGGAGTTTCTGTCTCTCGATGTTCTCGTTTGTTCTTTTCCCAGTCCCAAATGAGAATTATCACTCGTGTCATTTTATCATCAACACCTACATCAATACCTCATATTTATCGTAAAGAATCGGGCGTGCAAAATAATAAAAATAGGAAGGATCGCTCTCGCAACCGCGCGAGAAATTTCGGTCTTTCGATTGTCGCGGGATCGAGGCCCGCGCCGCTTCAATCGAGCGTGTTCCGCGAACGGGTGATCGATCGCTGTTCCCGGGAGAGCCTCTGTTTCCGCGAACGAAACCGCCGGACGATTGCCGAGTTTCGATCGGCACTCACCGCGATCGAAAGTGGCCGCCAGGACGACGAAGACGAGGCCGATGATCGGCGCGGCTCGGTACGCGATCATGATCGTCGCGGTCGCCGGACCATGTGCTCGTGGCTCGTGCCCGGGGGGTGTCTAATCGCGTCGCACGATAGGTGCTCCCGTCGCCGTCGCCGTCGTCGCCGTCGCCGGGGAAAGGATTGGACAGCGTGCGAGTGTACGCGTTCGCCTCTCGCCGTCGTCGTCGTCGTCGTCGTCGTCGTCGTCGTCGCCGTCGTTGCCGCCGTCGCCGCCTCCCGCGTCAAGCGGCCGGGATGAGAGCGCGGACACTTCCGTTCCCTTCAGGGACGGTGATCCGGGTCGCGCGCCGCGTTCGCCACCTCACCCGGACGCATAGCAACCGACTGACGCGCGTTACGCGACCGAGTCACCGAGTTTCCCTCGGCACTCTATATCCTCACGCTATGCGGCAGATCCACCCCCTCCTCGAACTCCCCCGCGATGCGCTCGCCGCCGTACCGTGCCGCGCCGATGCATTCGTCGATGGTGCACGCGCCGTTTTCCTTTCCTCGTCACCTTCCAAACGACCTCACGTTGCCACTCGGGGGTGCTCGGGGGTGCGCACCCCCGAGCGTGCGATCACTCGGGCGATCCTCCTCTCCGCAACGACGTTATTAAAAATGCTATGGATTCGCCACGATACATTTTTGTTCAACCCCTTGAAGTCTCGTGTTGAAATAGATTCGTGATACAGTTAAAGACACAATAAGAATTAATTCGGAACATCTAAAAAATATTGTATTAGTAAAATTATAAAATCCATAAATTTTTTGTAATTAATTAAGCAGTGTAGAGAATTAGTAGAAATATTTTTAAAGAGAACACGGCGCCTCAGGTTTAAATAAAGTTAAAAAAATATATCCTATTTAAAAAATATTATCCTGTGCGTGTTCTTTCACGGCTTTTCATTTTACTTAGTTTTTTATACATACATACATATATACATACACACATACCTGCATCCTTTACAACGTGCTACGATATCTCGCGGCAGTTTCCGCTTAGAACTATCGGCTTCTCGGTACTTTGCTGTTTGCCACGTTCGCACACGTACTGTCCTAATTTCCTCGATTTATATTCCTGTCAACAAAATATCATAATATAATTTTATATCACAATATTAATTTAAAGATCATAATAATTTAAAAAATAATATAATTTTTATTTAAAAATATTATATTATTTTTTATAAAAAAAATTATAAACTTTGTAGAAGATAGAAGAAAAAAACAACTTGCTGTATTACGTTTCAGGCTCATACACTCATTTTGTTAGAGAAAACAAAATATAACGTCCTGCCAACTAATTCTGATAATTTTAAAATTATAGATTATACGTGCAAATTTTGTAGATATACTACGTTTACGCGAGCGTTATTTCTGTAAGTAACTTACGACATAATTTATTCTAAATGAAATGTTGTAGTAAGCTTACGATAATTTACTCCGCATAAACGGGGGTTTTAGCAGCGACCCTTTGTTTACGCGGCGTGAATTATCGGTCACATGAGGTAATTCCTCTATTACCTTTTATTACATATTGTACAAAAAATACGAGCGTTACGTTATAATTGAGAAAATCATCGCGCGAGAAGAAAGATATGTAAGGCCAATTCCTTTTAGTGACACAATAAGTCGACACAAGTGTCGTTTTGTCTTTGTTATTCATTGAATGCCAAGAAGGATGGAACGATGTTTGTGTTGACTTGTGTCACTAAAAGAAATTGGCCGTAGTAATCAGCGAACGTGATGAGAAAATGTTTTATTTGGGAACTCGAACCAAAGAGGGTTGGAGGCTAGGCTAACAATAACCTGTCTCGTTAAAAAATGTTAAAAAACCACAAAAAACCTAAAAGCCGAACTTCAGACCATGGTTTGACCTCGAGTTGCAGCATTCATCTCGATTCTCGACTATCTTCCTTCTTCTTCTTGTATTAGATAAATTAGACTATCTTCGTATCTTCCATTTAAAATCTCAAGTAGTTCGGACACGAACCGTAGCAAAGACACGAACCACGAACCATTACCGAGCGTGAAGCCTGTATCACACTACGGGTTGGGATTGGTCGTGTTCAGCAGACCAAGCTAGAGACCAAGCCGCTCAGTAGCAGTCGAACGTGATTGGCTCTTACTTTTAGAACCAACCAATCAACGCGGAGTGTTGATAAGACGAACTCAACAGTTGTGTCTGCTGAACGCGGCCAATGGCAGACACAACTGTTGAGCGTTGAGTGTCGTCTTATCAACACTCCGCGTTGATTGGTTGGTTCTAAAAGTAAGAGCCAATCACGTTCGACTGCTACTCAGCAGCTTGGTCTGCTGAACGCGGCCAATGAGATGCCCGTGATCCGCGCGCTCTCCCCTTGATTTCGCGCGCGCGCGCGCGCGCGTCGGCCATCGGCACTGTTGGCAGCAGTGTCGACGATTGACAGAAGGGGCGTAGGAGGAAGGAGGGGAGGAATTTGGCCAACAAACGGAGAACCTGTTGTTCGCGAACGAGTGTGGTCAGGGAATGTAGGCACGCCGTGAACGTGAATGCCATCATGAACGCCAAAAGAAATCCGCAGCATGTGTCAGATTCGTACAACGGAGGTAATCCCGCCGCGATCCACGCTTCGCTTTCGCGTAATATTTGTCGAGTCGCGCGAGCAGACGCGCGCGCGTATGCTGATCCGGGGAAAAACGCGCGTATACGCGACACGACCGTAGATAGTAAACTGAAAAACCGTCTGCTGGGCGTCCTTATGGCGTCTGCTATTGCACGAAAACAACTTTTGCTCGGCATATATGGAAGTGTTCCAGCGATGTTGCTTCATTTAAGAATGGATCAACATCATCCGACGCGGATTGCACGGATTTTAATTTTTTTTTTCTTTTTTTTCTTAAATAATTAAAATGTATATTTTTCAGGCGTGATCTTTACTAGTTTAACTTTAATTACTGAGGTCATGGAGAAACTTCATGTTGACAGTAGCGTGTTTTATAGAATAGAACATTTATGCACTTCTCGTTACGTATCTCTCCCTTTTACGTCTCCATCTCTACCAATGTGATTAACTTTAATCTCGGTTTTACATACTTTTTATCATTTTCTTGTTCTAAAAACGAAAAGAAGATGAGAAGTTAAACCGAGATTGAAATTAATCTGTATTGATAGAAATGGACATGTAACGATACAAAATATACGCATATGTGAAACAAAATCTGTCGACACAGAAATTATTGTAATTCCAGTATTTGTCTTTCGTTAAAGCTCCATAACACGATTTATAAAAGATTTCTAACACTACGTCTTGAAAGAATTGATTTTTTCTTCAGAGAATTTAATTTTTTTCCAGTTGAAAATATATATTTAGTATTACAGGATTAAATATATAAATATAATTGAGAATAATTGTAAAAACTTTTACAGATACTATAGGAAGAGACAGTCCGTCAGCATTGTTGGAGGTACTCGCAGAGGTTGCTTCGCAAACATTGCACTCCGAGAAGAAACATATTAACTCAATGCTGACGCTGCAATACAAGCCGAAAACAGCGAGTGTGAAACGGAAAGAGTCATGCTTTACTGTACCTCAGCTCGCGTCCATGTCGGTTTCACATCTCGTTAAGCAATTTGCCGTTTTTACAAGCGACGAGCTCAAAAGACAATATTCCTACACCTGCGCGTTAGTGCCTGGTTGCCATCAGACGTATACCAGTTTTGCTAGCGAGGAAAAGGCTAGGGTGTGCATTAAAAATCACCTGGAGGAGCATTTAGAACACCTGAAAGCAGATAAAGAGACTTGTACGTACTAGTAAGCTAATGTTAAGAGAAATCTTCGATGATACTTTTTATGATTATTTAATTTTATTAAATTCTAAATTTATGAAAATGACATGTAAATGCTAATCCTGGGAAAGTTTAGTACTGTTAAAAGAATTTGTTTTATATTACAGATGATACATTTACAGCGAAAAGTATAAACCATAAGAATTTGAGGACTAATCTGCAAAGTAAGAAAAGTCGGATACAACAGATAAAGAAACCTCAAGAAACGTTAAATAAGGAGAACAAAGATGTGATATTGGAAAAACCCAATTATTTACGTAAAATACACTTGAACGATATTAACATTAAAGAGAACGAGAAGCAGAAATGTTTTCAGAGATCGGAAAAGGAGGGAGCGCACGATACTGAATTAAAGAATTCTGAGCAAATAGATATTAAGGTTCTCGGCGATCATAGTTATTCTGAACGATTGGATGACGAGTTGCCTAATAGGAGAGAAACGTCTCATGATGTCCCTGATAATACAACGGGAGAAGAAAATGTTAGTGAACAATCTACTAATTACCTAAATGCTTAACATATTATACAATCTAAAACAGTACATAATTGTGAAAAATATACATTGCATTTGTTATACGTACTATATTTTACAAATATGTATTTCTTTCCAGATTGTGTTTATGGTCGTTGGTACCGATAGTGTACACATGAAAGAGTACTCTCACGTTCATCAGAAATTAGCTGAAAGTTCTCAAGATTCTAATATTGTTTATTCACCAGGTATGTTCCTAACTTAGTTTATAATTTATAGAATAAAATACAACACTGTCTTATAATTGATGTTATAGAGACGAATACTATTATGCTAAAATATAATTGTATAACACATGTAAATTTCTATATATTTATGCATATATATTATGAACAGATAAAACTGAAGTCAGCACGGAATCAAATGTAGAGGTATCTACGACTACCAAGCCTAAAGGAAAAGCAAAGTTTATTGGCACGAGCAAGGAAGAGAGGGAAATGGCACTAGCATATATAGAACGTATTAAAAAGAAGGGTAATCCTACAGGAAACAATCTTCAATGTCGCATCTGCGACCCACCTCGTAGTTTCACAGCGCCTACAACTTTAGTCTCCCATTATCGGAGTCACGCTGGAATAAAGCCGTATGAGTGTTTGATGTGCAAAGCAGTTTTTACAAGAAGGCACAGCTTGAAGTACCATATGTTGATTCATGAAAATCAAACGCGCTTTACGTGCAAAGATTGTGGAAAGAAGTTCAGGCATCCGTCTCACTTTAGAGAGCATCAACGTAGGCACACTGGAGAAGCGCCGTTCGGATGTGATGACTGTGGGCAACGGTTAGTAAAATTATTGTTTAGAAGTATATTTAGACAGTATATTTATGAATTATGTAGATAGTAATATATTTTATACAGACGTTTACATTTTATTTTCATAAATAAGTTCAAGCCAAATAAGATTTTCAAATTTAATTAATTTAATTTCAACTTAAAAAATGCTCCATTTTTCTAATTCTACCTCCAGAAAAAGAGACAAAGAATCGATTGATATCGATAGTTTCGACTATATAACATTAATATTTTGTCTTTTGTGTTAGGTTCAAAACCAGGAACACTTACAAACGTCATTTAAAAACACGACACAATAAAATTCTCACCACACTTGGTGAAGTCTTGCATCCACCGGAAGAAGACGTTAAAAAAGTTCGGACTAATCGAAAAAGAAAGGATTGCACCGTAGAAGTTGCGATGAGTGTCGATGACATCACGTCCGATGCAATTGTAAAGTTTACAAACCATGACGAAACTCAAGTTATTACAAATACAGTAAAGGAGTATGTTCTGAAAGAGGATATCGATAGTAACAGAAATTGGGAGACGAACAATATAATACAGATTGATAAATTTGGGAGTTTTGAGATTTGTTCGGAATCTCAATTGAATAAGACTGATGGTATAGAGACTGAAATAGCTGTAGATTGTAAATATCCCGATAGGGAGAACAGTAATGTCAATGTCGAATGTATTAACGGTATAGGAGATGGCCTGCTGCAATTAAAAGATCCTTTTTACGATAACTTAAGAGTAACTAATAATGAGGAAAATCATGTTGTCTATCAGCATAATATCGAAGATCAGGATAAGATTTACGAGTGTAGTAATGAAACGAGAAATGAATGCGAAGTGAATGGTAGAAACGAGACACAGAATGAAGAAAAAGAAGATGTAATGGAGATAAACGCAGATTTTCCAGAAGAACAAGACGAAAGCAATTTACAAGTGTGGGATAAATCTACGCATGATTATCAGAAGGAAATATGCAACAATAATACACAAGAAAGAAACACAACATGCAAACATTTAAGAACAGAGCAAACAGAAGCTGCAAGTTCCAATAAAAATGATCAAAAATATGATGTACACGTCATTACGCAGAACGATGTCACGAGTGAAAAATCTACAAAATCTGATAATTTCGATATTGAAAATAAAGAGTATCCAGGAAATAACATCTGTGCGCAGATTATATACGCAAATATTAATATCTCGCAGTCATTGAATGAAGATAGCGAAGAGAGTATTCCAGAAAATCAAAATATATTGCAAGAAAATGAATGTATAACTCAGTCTGTTGCGACAGATGTGGTAGAAATATTAAATGTTTCTCCGAAAGATTCTGTCGAGGCGAATCAGGAAACCGATCAACAACAAAATAATCAGTATTTATACGTCCGTTCCGAAGAGTTAAGTAAATTAATCGCTCAGAATAAATACGTAACCATACCGCTACATCAGATCAAGTTGTGTCGCGAACATGGATTGCAAGCGAAGGTGGACAACCAGAAATCGATATATATCATAAATGAGGATATACGAACAATTATAAAGCAATCTGACAAACAAAATACGATTTTAGTTTTATCTAGCGATAGTTTCAAGAGTAGCATTTTTCAAATTGACAAGAATAGTATTATTGTCAAAGCTCTGAAGAGATAGATCGATGCAAAGTAATAATATTTGTATAATAAGATATGTAAAGTTTAACGTTGATTACATTCAAAATATATTTTGTAACATAGCAATGCGCTCTAATAGACACAATCGATTGATTGAAGTACATATGCAATAATCGTTGTAACACATATAATAATCTTAAAAGGAAAGAAATAACACAGCATAATGCTACACGTTTTTTGCTTGTATAAATATTTAGAAAGCAAAACCAAATAGATGTAATCGTGTTTCTCATTTTTATTACGAGATATAATTAACTACGATATAATTAACTTAAGAAAAAGAAGTGACGGACTAATGAAAATATCCTTGTCGATTTGACGTTACAGTTTAAGAGATTATTTTTATATCTAAGTTTTTAAAATATTATTATAATATTAGAATAATCTTATAATAATGTTATTATGAAATGTGTGAACAATCATAATAATGTTATTATGAACTGTGGTTATGAGCTTGTATTGCTTGCAATAATTACCTGCATTTATTAAATTTCCAAGTTTAATAATCAAATTGATATTCAAAATTAAATTTTACAATCTTCAATTTCGTTCTTGACATGTACGGAAAATAAATTTATGCAGTTTATTTGTAGTTTCACATCTATTACTTTTATTAGATGTGGTCCTACTAACTTATATTTATTTAGCAATCATAAAAAAATATGAAAATATGGTAAAGTGCCAAATGTAAGAAAGTATGTTTCAGCTATATAATCTTGATTTAGTTTCATATAAAATTTTCCACTTTTTTAAGATTGTGGAGGGTCGTAAATGTACTGCTATATAATTTATTTTTATAACAATTTTATTGAAGCTTTTTATCTCTGCTGTCTTTAAAATTATTATTTTAGAAGAGATATTTTTTTTTATATAGTGCATTAAGTAATAATAACACATTTAACATTTTGTGAAGCAATTATACTTTATACTATCTAAATGAGCAAATTATAGGCGTTTATAAGTTTACGTGCAATTTAAAAACAAAGTTCAGTTGTCTATGTTAAATAGATTTTTCTATTTGCAAACTGTGTAATGTGCACTGTAACGCACTTTGAATATCGCAGCTTCTCGCATTTTTTTTTACAACGGTTTTGGCCAGTAAATCTTTTTTCTAAAAAAAAAAAAAATGTATCTTTCAAGATATTTTTCGCAGTAAATTATTAAGCTACAAATATTCGAGAATCCACACATTAAATATCAATAACTATGTGTCTACACATTAAGTGCAGATAACTCGCAAACCACATTTTCCATCTGATTTACAAATTTCCAAATTTTTAAATAACGCAAAAATAAATTATTTTATCTGTATAAAGTTTATGTCCAGGAAGTTCCGATTTGATTGCAGTCTAATTAGGAACTCTCTTCTTTAGTGGCATCTTTAACTAATCAATCTAAGAGTCTGTTACAGTCTTCCTTGGTGATATAAAATATCTTCTAAAATCGCCAAATCGAACTTTAGTTCACCTTCAGCTATGCCACAGCTAAATATTCTTACCCTAATAAGTTTTTCTAAAAAAGAACTAACGTTTTAATCTGCAGATTTTATTCGATAAGATACAAGAAGATGTGCACTGCTCACCTGAAATAGACCTGCAAGTCTGAGAGTCTTCGACTCTCGTGCCAAAGTTTGTTGAACAAACTTGTGAAAAATCTGATACTTTTAAAAAGTTTCTGCAGATTTAGGCACAGCCATTACAACTAAACTCTAAGTAGTCGTCCAGAAAACTTGGGCGATAGTTTTCTCTCTCTCAGGCCTACTCCTTACACTCGGTTCTGTAATCACAAAATAACATTTGGAATTGTTGTACAGCATAATGTTCACGTATACTAGTTTGTCTATCGTTATATATATATATATATATATATAACTAGACAAAGTTCCCAAAAACAAAACTAACCGAATATCCTTTACTTAGCTGGAGTAAATTCAAACTCGGAACTTTCTCGATATAAATAGTACAAGTGATCGATTCGAATAATTTCACAACATTTCTTATGCAGGTATAATAAAGATCATAAATATACCAATATGAGATTAATGTGTATATAGAATGCGGTAGTATAACTGAAATAATTGCTCGTGTAAAGAAAGAAAATCGAAACTATAGAACAAGTCTCTACGAAGCTACGCTTTAGGAGAAAATCGATTATTAAGCCTGTTGCAGTCTGTATAGTCTCTTACAATTACATTATATTACACGCCATCCTGTACTATCGTTTTCACAATTTCTCACAGTCTCAATAATTCGCAGATCCACTTCTTTAACAAACATATCAGTAATAATAACAAATAATGCATTTATATACTATAATAACCAGATAATTTTTAATACCATGTATAAGGTAATGAATATGACGAATAAAATAACAATAGTCAAGATACTAATTAACAAGATAGATCATATTATACTATACAACTTATGTCTAAAAACAATATTATTACAAAGGGTGCCTTTTTGATAAAGTAGAAATAAGACTTACTCAGATTACAAAAGTACGGTAGCTAATAACATAGCTAATAAACATTAAATATTTACGAATTACGATATTCGTAATGATAGAGGATAAAAAAAAAAACAAATAATCTTTATGTAATCTTCTATAAAATTATTTGCATTAATAATAACCAGTCTGATGATTGCATATAACATTGTAGAAATTTAGACGAAGGCGAAAGGCTTATGTGATGCAAATTTACTCAAGAACGTTCTCGCAGAAGTTTTACGTTGTACAATTTTCGCGGCTCGCTCATGATTATACATATACACAATAACAGCGTGCTTTGAAACCGTGAGCCTAATTCGCGCCGCAACTTATCGGCTATGTAAAGAACAATAATTTTGCTTACTAGAATAATGTATTTTTCTACGTATATTTTGTACTTACGAATAAATTTCTAAAAATATTCTGCGTGGATCATTTCCGATTACCCGCTAAGTTTACGATAGTTTTTAAGTCAAAATCAAGGGAGTTGGCGTGTAAGTGGCGTTAAAGTTTCCTACGGATGCGAATATCCTTCATGAATACGAGAGGGTCAACGAGTGAGTTAATTTGTTTATATTGTTTTGTGGAAATTTCAAATCAATGACAAGTTATATGTCTCAGGTAGTAAACTGACGTTATTTTGGCATTAAAATGATGAATATAATGTCAGTTTGCAGCTCGGGGTGTTATAATTTTTCATTATTTTACATAAAAGTATAACAATATTACATTCCCTTTATAATTATCACTCATGCGCTACTAGTATGTTTTACAATTAGCACACGATACTCGTGAAACACCTGTCCTTTCGATTGAGATGTCGACTCAGATTATTGATATTATTTTGGAATTCGTTGGCTTTCTCTTGTGAAATCTTTCAGAACTTTCCGGCCCGGAACTGAAAAATCGGGACACGCAAAGAGAGCTCGAAAACAGTTGCAACGAGTGGAAGAATAAGAGCGAATCAGACCAAGTCCTCTTTGTTAGCTCATCTCTAATTAGGTTCTTATCTACTCCTTCTAAATAAAATTACCGATTCAAATTATATTCGAGAACCCTGAGAAAAAATTTCCCAGAAATTTTCATATTATTAATCAGATGTTCTATGAAAAATTTTATAAGACTTTCTCAGAACTTGTTATACGCGTTGGGACGTCTTACATAAAAAGTCAAACAAAATAATAATGAAATATTTCAGATTTCTCGGCAGCACATATTTGTAGAAATCTGAATATATATAAATATGAGAAAATTCACGCAATTTATCAGAATTTTTCATAGATACAGAAATATTCCAAAAATCCTCATCCAATTATTTCTGAAGGTGTATCTCAAAAGTTTTACATAACACAAGTATTTTTCATAAATATAAAATATGAGAAATTCTTAGAAAATTTCTGAGAAAATATGAGAAATTGTTTCACTCTAAAGAAGATCACTCAGAAATTCTTTTCTACGTGGAAAAGACGTATCTCAATTGACCAAAATTATTTCCAAGCCACGATACGCCTCGTTTACGATTTCACTCGACATCTCCGTTGAACCGAGGCCGACCTGGGGGAAGGATCCAAAATATTTACGCTAATTTACGGGCATCTCCTGATTCGTCGTCGCAAATGCCAAAACATTCACGACGACGGTTCGTGCCCGGCGATGACAACAAACGCGCGCGCGACCGGCAAACAACCGCGCCGTCGGCCGTCCTGTTGCTCTCGTTGGAGAACGCGCGGTCGGCGCCGGTCTTGTTGGGGAACAAGGTCGCGGGTAAAATGGCGAGCGGCGGGCCCCGCTCGGGTCAGGATAAAATGGGACGTACGTGTCGCGCACCGGACGATCGCCGCGGCAACGGGCGGCGGGAGGCAACGGGCGCGATTCCGCTCTCGGCGTGTTTACTGTTACAGGACGACGTCAGTATACCTGTATACCACAATACTGTGCCTGTACTATACCTGTATCTGCTATCTGCCTCGCCAGTATCGCGAGCGGCGAGGACTCGATTGCAACAGGTGTGCCGACTGGCCGGTGGCAATCTTGCCGTCGCTCTCCCGAGACGAAAGCGGGGGACGGAGGTCGCGGCGACGCTCTCTCAGTACGGATTTCGCGCGAGAAGAATACACGCGCCGGGCCCCGGGGTCGCGCTCTCGGTCTCCAAACAAAAAACGGAGCGCAACGGGCGAGACCAACTGTTCGCGGTACCTCTCGGGACGGCGAGTCCGCTGTGCATCCCATTATCCGCGAATCGTCGAGGTCGACGAGGTCCTCGCGCTTTCAGCGACGTACGCGATACCGAGTGCGCGTACAGCGGCGGCTCTCGGCCGGAGAAGGTGTTTGAGGCTCTACGAACGCGACGGCATCTGTTACTCCGGGAGTTAAAGAGTCAAAGCTAACAATAAGAGGAGTTTCATCGCACCTGGAGGTAGCGGCCGCGCTCGTTGGTGCGCGACACCGGAACTTGCTTCGCAGCGGTCGCAGAGCGGCCCCGCTCCTGCCGGGTGGGACGGGGAGGGAACGAGCGTCGTCGGCCGCGCGTGTACCATGCGCGCGAGAAGATTGGAGAAGATACCCCGTCATTCCGGAGTATACCCCGAAAACGAGTCGACGCGTCGTACCCGCGCGCGGCGACACGCGCCGTCGGCGTAAATATTGAACAACCGGTGACGCAATATTAGTTTGCGCGCGAGGCATGATAATAAGCGGGGACGTCGTTGCTCGTCGGCGCGCCTCGCGATCAGATAAAGCGCACGAAATTGTTCCCCGCCCCGAGGTCGACGCACCGCCGCCGCCGCCGCCGCTCGCGTATCCGTCGCGGAGGAGAAGCCTGATAAAAGATTCAGTCCGGTTCCGTCGCCGCTGCCGGCCTGCCGTCGCATTCCCGAATTCCCGCTGGCGGAAACGCGCGAAATGGAGGTGAGTCCCTCACGCGTACACTCTATACTCTCCTTTCTCTCTTTCTGTCCTGCCTCGACGAGGAGTGCGAATAAGGGTCGTCCAAGTGAGACGTGGAGACTCGGGTTGCTGCCTGAATAGCGACGTCACTGGAGATGAGACACCTGTCCACACCTGCCTAATGTTAGGGGTGCCTATATATAGCGCTATCAGCAACAGTGACATATACGTGACATGTATATTTACCTGCTTGTACATTCCTACGCTGTCTTGAATTAGCACTTCGTTCAAGCTAGTCTAGGTTTCATTCAGACGACCCTTGTATAGAAGCTGTAGAGCCTTCAGACGTATATCTTCGTGATGTTCCAGAGTGACTGATCCTGTCCCAGGTGTCCCTTACGCTTCCCGCGATTTAAAATGAAATCCGTGTACGCTTACGTCCATTCCTGTCGACGTAGATTGACTTTAAACCTCGGTTTAACGTACTTTTTATCTTTCTTTAATTTTTAGAACTAGATGAAGAGTAAGATAAACGAGATTGAAATTAATCCGCGTTGAAAATGAGCATTATAGAAGGAAAGTTGGGCGGAGAAGCTGTTTGGTGAAGAAAGCAAGTATCGGCAAATCGGGAAAGTGTAACTAAACGGAATAAATCTGCTGTCATACAAGCGTGAGACACGATCTTATTTATCTCTTAACTTCTTCGAGCGAAAGGACTTTGACAGTTACGCAAAACGTGGACCTACGATCCGTGAGACATCTCTTCGTATTTGCTTTAAAGTAAAAAAAAAAAACTTGCTTTATCATAGTTCGATTTTACATATTGCATATTTCCTCTTCTGGACCTCTTTCTCTCGGAGAATTAATAAAATGAAACTAAATGCGAACATCTAGAGACAATAAAAATGAACGTATACAACTATTGAATGAGGAAATAAAGAGCTTGAAAAAAAGTATCTTTAAGACGTAATTATTTCGTTACTTTACAATTTGCGCGACGGATACTTACAGCGATCTGGATGAAAGATTTGGATTCTGATGTGATGAGAGTTAAATCTCTATTGACATTGCTACCGTGTTTACAGTGACATTTTTCAATGAGCCTATGTAACGTTGATATCATATCTCTCGCTTTACTGCCTCTCCGTAAAGTTCATTAATTTGGCGTTTTAATGCAAGAACGGCGCTAACGCAACGCATGACAGCAGAAACAAATAAACGCGTGCTTACAATTGTTCCATCGTTATCTAAAACAATTAGACCGGTGATGCGACAATAGTTTGCGTAATATTACCGTCTGGTAGTTAAAACATCAGTCAATAAATGATATTTGCAGAGTCATCGCGATTTTTCTATTTATACGATCGCGGAAAATTTTTGTTCGTCCTTTTTAAATTCTAAACAAATTTGTGGCATGGAATTCTTAGGTAATTACATTCGTAAAGTACAGAATTTTGAGATATAATATAGTTATATTTTATAATAACATAGTATTAAATGTGCCTTTTGAGTCAATACTTTTGCCAGTGATTTCAACCGCTGGTTCTTTGCTTATTTGCATTAGAAAATATATAATAATTAAAGCGGCTATTGACGAGAAACTTGGGATATTAATTACTTCTACTTACTTTCTTTCGAACGAAATGTTTTACGAAAGTTACAGACATCAATTTCATTTAACCCTAGAATCCATGATACATTTTTTTGACCTTCTAATCCATGACTGGGGGGCAATATCGACCCCACGCTTTATTTGATCGTAAAACCGGTCCTACAGAAATAAAGGGCCTTTAAACCTACATGAATTTCTTCGTTTTTTAATAACGAAGAGAATGGTATACGGTAAATTTAATTTTACTCAAGTTTAGTTAGTGAAAAATCCATTTAAAGACTGAAAAACGCAGAAAATCAGCAAAAACCTCTTTTTTTAAACAAAAATTTGTATCTTTTTTTGTAATCAACCGATTTTAAAATTTCAAACGGGGTTTTAAAGAGGACACATTAGACTATTAGAAAAAAATTGTCATCGCTATGTTCTGTTCAAAAAGTATATTTATTTGGGACTATAAAGATGAAGAAATTCGCAAAGTTGAAATACGGAAAAAGTCGATGAAAAAACCATAAAAAATTGTATTTTAAGTATTATTTCATTTTTATTTGATACAAAATAGTAAAAAATATGAAAAAAAATGAAACATTATATCGCCCAGCCATTTTCTGCGAAATGTCAATCTTCTTAGGCAACGGGATTTTTACCGACTAAATTGTGTGATATTTCGTCTTAAATAATATTTATGACTATTTATGCTCAGATTACGTAATAATACATGATATATATTGATTCTAGCGAAAAAATAAAATTAGCTTACCGTGACGAAACTCAAACGGCAAGTCACGACTGGGGTCGATATCGACCCCACGCCCGCTTTACGACTGTGCTACTTCACTGCTAGCGAACAACTAAGGGCCAAAGCACATAACATGGCGTAGCGATATACGACGGTCGTAGTCCTCGACCTGACAAATCAAGATACGCCAAAGCTTGTGCGTTACTTACGTCCACGACTACGACTGTCATATGTGCTTTGGCCCTAACGCTGCGCCCGACATAACCCTACTTTTAGAAAGTTGAAATGAATTATGGTTCAGGTCCTGAGTCGATAATGTCACTCGCTAGCTCAGGAGCGTAGTTCAAAGTTCGCCTGGGGTCGAAATCGACCCCAGTCATGGATTCTAGGGTTAAAAATTGAAAGAAATGAATGAATCGTCTCTGTTAGCTTGTCGTCCATGCGTAGTCGACATGACATTTTCGATTTCATTAATTAGCATTTTTAGACAAATTTATGTCACAAGTTGAAACCGGCATCGATGAGAGACCTTGGAAGACCGATCCTTCCGAAGTCGATTGTCTCCGAACTATTACTCACAGTTGACGTAATATCGACGCAATCTTCATACGGAATCATACTAATTGTAAGCTCACGATCGGAATGGAAAGAGCGCATTTATATTTAGCACTAAATACAATGTAGAAACATGGATCTCTGTTTCTAAAAGAAAGCAAAATGATTATACGAATTACAATTAAAGTCGAGGCAGCAATCTAGCTTAGATAGGCTGTCCTTTTTCACATGGCAACCTTATTTATGACAAGGATAAAGAAAATCGACAGAAAGTTGATTTGATTGAAGTTTCATACGACTGTTAACGCTTTAATTCTCAATTATTACTCCACGTATATATGACGAGGCTAATGAGCCCTAATATTCTTCAATATTCTTTCCTTTTAAGTGTTGTCTGCATTTTATAATTTATAATGCTCGGAAGGAGAATGGATTTTTGGACAGTCGAAATGTTGCTCGGTCCTTAAGTCGGTCGTCCGGGCACTCTCGAAGGTATAGCGAAGATGGTGCACGGTCGAGAGAAGAGAGACGAAAAGAGCGGTAGGAAGAGTCGTGGCCCATTTCTTTTAGAAGGGAAACGAGATGATTACAGTTAAAGCCGTTACCTCTTCGTCAGTGCTCGCTCAGTTTTCTGTGTGGACGGCATTCCTGACCGGCGTCGCGTCACAGCTGGAAATCCTCGTGAGAAATCCTCGGCTATATATCGGCTGCTGCAGGCTCGGTAGCGGCTCTCTGTCCTCGCCTCGCCTTTCGTAAACGTTTCCACACGTCAACCCTTTTACGGCACCTCTCTTGCCGTAGAGAGACACACCGACGAGGTATTATTGAAACTGGCCTTGGCGTCTTTTCAGGTCTGAAAAATTAATCATCGCGAAACACTTATCCGAGCGAGATCTTTAATGATACCCGAGTGAATGTAAAGGTTTACGAATCAATGAATAACCGCGGAGATATAAATAGAGATAGGGCACAGGCTTAATTCTGAAACTTCGGCGTAAACATTCGAAACAGAGAAGTGAGTCAAAAATAGTGGTGGGGAAGAGAAGAGAGATTTTTATCGTGACAAAAGCGCCGATCGATGTGTTCGCTGATAAGTACGAAAAAAGAAAGAAATGTTTCGACGAGAGCCCTGATGTTTTTGACCGAAGGTCATCGCTCGATCGCAATTTCGCCCGTATACCCTTTTCGGGAAATGTGTCATGTCATTTTATCTGTCCGCTTCGGGGCTTCACGAATGACGTGTCGGGCGGCGTTGCAGAGAGGTGGCGATATACTTTCTTCTAGAGATAAAACTGATAACGCTCGATACGTGATCGATAGAGGCGAGCGCGAGGATGACGGTCATTGTTGCAACGAGCGATTTGTTGCACCGCTTGAAAAACCCTTTCACCTTCCTATATATGTACGTAATTCTTTGAAAGCGGTCTCGTTCTCCACAGTGGTTGGTATCACACTCGAATGGAACGGCGTATCTGTTTATCAATAGTTTGCAATCGATCCATTAATCGGCGTTGAATAACGAGATATATAAATGCGATGAGAAAGATATCGAGAGAGATACATGCATTGCACACATACGCAAAACGACGAACATAAAAGTTTAAAAGACCGCACGTGTCCTTCGGTATCTGCGGATCAGTTATCGGAAACTCTAACACTCGTCAAAAAGAATCAGATAAATTCTTCAAAACTATTCGATCTACTCTTCGATCGGATATCGACTAGATGCGGAGTTAATGTTCCGTTTTTTTAATGCAATTTTAATGTCTTGAAATTTCGGAATTCCTCGCGAAGAGATCAGAGAACTCTGATTAGAAGCATATAAATTTTTTATGTCAAGCAATCAATCTCGTGTATCTTCTCCTAAAGAAAAGTTAAGAGTTAAACGTGTGGTGAAAATATAAACACAGGGTGGTGTTTGTATTTTCACCTACATGGTGTTTTATATATTCTTACATTCATGAGAAATTTTCGGTATGCGCGCACAGGCGGAGCGTAGACTGGAGCAGTTGAAGAGGGCGACGGACAGAATACAAAGGGAAATCGAAGAAGTCACCGAGAGGGAACACGAACTGCGGAACGTGGGTAGCATTAAAACCACATCCCACGAGACAGTGGACTGCAAGGTATCTTCGAAACGCATGCTCCAAATAACACGGTTTGGCGTCTGTGCTTTTCTCCGTCTACACAAGTCCCACGCGTATTTTTAACGCTCCTTTTTATCTGTAAAAATAAAAAGAGTAGAGTTTCTCTGAGTTTCAAGTGCCCGAAGAAAGAGATACGCTTGAAGACTCGTGAAATTCAATTCTTAAGCGCGAAAAAGATCCGTTTGTATGTTGAAATAATATTTAACTAAGCGATTTTACTGCGTAGGTGCGTCGTATGCCGCAGGCTCTGGTCTCGGGCAAGCTGAAAAGGACAACGTCCACGCCGCAGATACTGGAGACAGTCAGCCCGACGTCGCTGTCGCCAAACCTGACGCCAAAGATGACGAACGGCGTGATATCCACGCGCACCACGCCGACACCGCTGCGTTTCGCGACTACGCCGAGCCAGAAGGGTCTGATGCACAGGTTCCTGGCTACCCGAGGAAAGCTCTACAGGAACAAATCGCCGAACAATGGCAGTTTGAGTCCTCCCATAACGCCCACCATCACGCTTAATCCTCTGAGCATCAAGGCCTTCAATAGAACGTTGGAGATACCACTGGAGCCGGACGACGAGCCAAAGAAGCCATTAACGAGGAAGGGATACGTTCCTGTCGAGAAAAAGATTCAAAAGGAGCTACATGACATGAGAGAACGAGAGAACGAATTGAGGTGTTGAAATTTATAGATTAGACAATTCAATGCGAGGGTGTGGTCCAAACCGTTTTTAAAATAATAAATTAAAGAAGAAGATTAAAAGTCTATCTGAGATTAACTTTTCAATTTTTTAAGAATTTTTAAAAAGTAATTTGAAAAGTAATTTTTCTTATTATATTTCCAATCCTGCGACAATAATTACTAATTCAAATTAAATAATGATTAACTTAGATGATTTATTTAACATCTGATTTTGTTTGCAATAAATGAAGCGTTAAAGAAGATATAGCGCTACATTGTCGAGGCAAATTGTTGCACGCTGTAATAAAAATTTTGAGGAGTCATTTCACTTGATTATTACATTTGCAAACTGAAACTAACTTACGTTTATTTTTGCAGATTAATGAGATCGCAGATGTTGGCGAAGTCTCAGCCGAATCTACTTGACATAGGAAACGATAACGATTCCGATATTTACGACGGCTCCGGTTCTCTCAGAAGCGGCGCTTCCACTAATACTTTGAACGAGGATGAAACTGAGAGAGAACATAAGGGAAAACATAAGGTTAGCAATATTTTCACACAATTATAATCGATACGATTATAATTAATTACTAATATTGCTGATTAGAATCAATCGTCGAAACAAACGCGTAATTTGTAACGAAGGCAATTCAATATTCAATTTGACTAACAATAAGCGATAAAAGATCTCTTTTCATTTACAGCCTAATCCACGACGCCGGAACACGCTCATCGCGCAATGGGAAAATTTGATAGCCGCTAAGAGAGAGTCTATCGAAAATAACAACGAAAAAGACAGCTACTTTTGAAAGTTCTTTAGCCTTACGTATCTGTTTGCAACTTTATCTTTATCATATCGTTTTTCCGTTCTATTTAAATGATCGATCGTAAATCAGTAATACTTATTATTAATATTACAGCGAACAACCGCGTTTGTATCGTAACAAGTCCGTTGCTCCGCTTTTTTTTTTTAAGCGTATCTTAAATGCATGAATATCTTGTTTTATATGTATAGTTTGTTTACGAATGAACAATTTTTTTGTGTGTTTATATATTTATGCGCTCCAGCGTTAATTAGAATATACCACGTCGCCGCTGCGTGTGTTATCAGTATTAAAAGTTGTGCTGGCTTAAATGTTATTAAAACGCAACTGCTTATGAAATTGAAGGATCTTTTTAAATAGGATACACACTTTGTTTCCGATTCGTTTTCGATGAATTGGATAACACGAATGCGATATGTAAAATATCCTCACTCGCGAGCGAGTGAAGAAATTCTCGTACGTTTGTCGTTTAACGTAACTTTGCCGGTGTAAAGTGCTTATTAATTATAACGATCGTTAGTTTACTCGATCAGCGTATGTATAGTATTATATATATCTATATTAAATATTAATTAGAGTAATTATTGTAAAGATAGTAAGATATTCGACGGATACCTCCATACACCTGAAAAATTCAATCATAATAACAATATCAAATAATAATTACTACCTATTACAGAGTATTATGCGCGAGATTAATTAGACAAAGCATATAGCTCTGGACTAAACTGAAAATTACGCATATTGGTTTTCGGTCGTGCAATATTAAATTATACATTTAGTCTCTACAACGCAGTTTTTATTTTATAATTTGCAGTTGTTACGTTTTTCAACATGTGTAAATGTCAACAGCACAATACATTATATATATATGTTTTATCATAATTCATACTGCGATTTAGCTTCTCATTCTAATATTTGCCGTTAGCGGAAATTGGCAAATTCTAGATGGGTATTTTGATTACAGGTTGAAATACCTCGAAATATTGATTGCAATTTATTAATAAATAAAAATGTTAAATGTGAATAAATTGATACATACTGATCGAGACTGAATAGAAAAAGATATGATTAAAAGTGTATAAAGAAAATATCGAATGTAAAAATAAAAATTGTGCTGTAATATATCTTTTAAAGCGAAAGGTGTACTTAAAAATTGATAAAAATATAAATTTTTAATTTAAAAAAAGTAGGTTAATTGTTTTCTGCACGTTTTGAGCTATATAAAATGACTTTTGCATGTGTATAAATAGATCCATATCTTAAAAAAGAATTATAGATACATTCCGCTGGCTGAGTGTTATTAGAAGCGGATGTTCAAGAAAAAGAACATTAATCAATTATATAAGAAAAGAGTAAAGAAAATATAATTCGAATATATTATTTTTAGTAATAAGAAAGAAAATAAGAAATAAGACTGTACCTTTTTTCTTAAATAAGAATTAGAAAATTAATTTTTTTTACATTTTGACTTGTTCCTTGTAAACATTGAATTGTATAAGTAAGAAATAGTGAACAAGACAAAAAATAATGAACAATATTAATTCTTAATTCATCTTTTTTGGCTTCATTTTCAACATTCCTATTTTCTGTAAAGAAGTAAGAAATACTTGGAACAGTGGTTCTCAAAACAGATGCGGATACTCTGCGATGCTCGATGCTCGCCACTCGGTCCAAAATCCAAACCTAACCTCACGTCATACGGTCAATCTAACCTCAACCAGTCGCGTGCGGTCGCAGGTGTTTTCTGCTCACGTGCGAGATTCAAGTTCCAGCCCAGCATAAAATAAATGCAATATTTTGTCACCTGCTTATAATTATATTATGACACTATGGCTCTATGTACAAGCCAAATAGACGACAGCATAGAAATTCAACTTTTACTTAATTTCTCCATAAATAAAGGTATGTGCTGATTATGTATATTTTTCAGTAAAATCGTAAAATTCAATAACTGTATATATTTAAACTTGAATTTTCTCAATAGTTATTTCTAATTTTAGTTTCAGATTTGCCACACAATGTACATAGCATATTAAACGGCCAATACGAAGATACAATAAATAATGAACTTTCCACGTTTATCGAGGCAGTAAGGAACGGCGATAGCTTAGAAGAAATTATACATAATGGTTTATCCAGCACCCAGGCGCATTTGTCATGGCTGTGTACAGGAATAGCTTCGTTATTATACTTTGTCCAATGCAATTGGACAGGTCCTCCCATTGACAGTGATGTCGATTGGCTGAAAACCAGAAGAGATGAGGCACTGAAACACTTATCTCTGCATGACGGATGTAATATAAATGTACGGAAACCAGAGCTTCTTTACCTGGCCAACAAGATATTCTCCAACGTGGATCTGCAGCTTAGATGCAGAAGCTGCGTTTGGTGGCTGCTTAGAGCTACTCTCTTACATCAGCATGTGTTAGACGAAAACTCAGGGGTGCTGTTCGAGGAAACTGAGAATCTAATAACGAAAATTAATAATCTAAATATATTAGAGGATCCCCTTTGCGAGCTCTTATTCAATCTGGAAGCTGCTAGATTTTACTTGCACTATAGAAGAACACAGAACTCTGAGAAGCATCTTGAACGTGCGCAGAGAATAGCGGGCTTAAGATTAAATTTGGAGGGTGCAATGGGAAAGCGTACCAAGTATCAGCGAGAAGAAAAGGCGCAGTTGTACCTCAAAATAGAGATGGACAGAGATACTTTTCCTTCGATAGATTGCGAAGATATACCGAAATCTTTGAACTTAAATGACGAATTGAGATTGGAGCGCATTGAATTTTCGGAGCATAAAGAAGATATTAAACTGGGTATGATGGAAGAAGCGATAATTTTGGCAAAATAGTAAGTATAATAGCTCGTATATTTATATAAATTATAGCATTGTAACGTAGAGAGATTTTAATAGTTAACAGTGTTCAGTTGCAGCTGTGTCAACCTAAGCACAAACTCACTGACGAGGAAATTAGACCCTATCTGACTGTAAGCTACAATGTTATCATTGCATTTTGTTTTGTTAATGACAAATGATATTAAAAAAATATTTCTTACAGAAAGTTGTGGATAGTACAAAAAATTGGTCGTTAAAGATGACTTCTTTGTGCTACCGTTGCTCACTGGAGTCCGATGACAAGAGAACTGTCGAGCGATCCATGATGCAAGCGGAGTCTCTGCTGAACGATTACAATGACGCAAAAGCACCTGTAGCCAGAAGAATGGATATATTTTTCGCGAGCGGTATGAGACCCATTTGGACGTTAGAGGAGAAATGGGCTAACGTAATGTTTAGTCTTGGCTTGGTGAAGGGAGCTCTGGAAGTTTTTATAAGACTGGGATTATGGGAAGAAGTAATTGCCTGTTACAACATGTTAAATTTGAAGCACAAGGTAATGTACATTTCATATTAAGTGTAATATGATTGCATAATTAACTTGCAAACGTTTTCAGGCAGCTGAGATTATTGAGCAAGAAATATCTAAAAAGCCAACGGCGAAATTGTGGTGTCTATTGGGAGATGCAACTGGAGATGTGAGTCATTACGAAACGGCATGGAGATTATCTGAAGAAAAAAGCAGTAGAGTACAAAAACATTGGGGATTCTATTATTTCGCAAAGAAAGATGTTGGTATTTAAGCCACTGATCGCCAATGCAAAACTTTTGTTCGAATCTTAAATGTAATATCTACTTTTCAGTATGCTGAGGCCGTACCACATTTGAAACTGTCGGTCGAATTGAATAATATTCAAGAGCATGTATGGTTTAGACTGGGCTATGCAGCGTTACAGATAGAAGATTGGAAGTTAGCCGCTATGGCATATAGACGTTACTGTGCTTTAGAAGAATCTGTACGTATATATACATTTCTGGTATTGCTATTTTTACAGTTGACACGAATTAAATAAAATTCTTATTCTTATATAAAAATTTCAGACTTTTGAAGCATGGAACAATTTAGCAAAAGCGTACATAAAATTGGGAGATAAACCAAGAGCTTGGAAGTCTCTGCAGGATGCCATAAAATGTAATTACGATCGTTGGGAAGTGTGGGACAATTTGATGGTCGTAAGCATCGATCTGGGACATTTTTCAGAAGTAAGTATCCACATATGACAATTTTTTACAAAAGTTCTTTGTTAAACTGATTTTAAGAGTGCTAACACATTCTTAATCAATTCTAGATTTTATTTATATTAGATACATCTCTCTCTCTCTCTCTAAATCTTTACATTAAATATCTTATTAATATCTTTAAACAATTTTGATTTATTCACAGGTTATTCGGAGTTATCATCGTATCTTGGACTTGAAAAACAACCACTCGGATATCCAAGTTCTTCAAATATTAACAAATGCTATAATAAATAATGTTAATGACGCGGACGGAAATCCAGCGTCTCGTTTGCTTCAAAACACTTTGGAATTGTTTGGAAGAATCACTTCCAATACAGTTAATAATCCAGATATCTGGAGAATGTACGCTGAACTTGTTGCATTGAGAAAAACGGACGTTGACGACGAGAGAGCGGCACAGTATCTCCAACAAGCGTATCGTTTCATTACTTCAAATCCAAAATGGTGTCGCAACGAAGATACGACTCTAAACGTGCTGGAATTATGTTGTAACCTGGCGCAAGCATATTTACGTTGTGCCACTGATATCGCGATCGTCAAGAAAAGGAAGATGTTGGGAAGCGCTAAATTATCGCTGCAAGGAGTCGTGAAAAAGATCAAGGAACAAGCGTGGGATAATGCGGATATCATGAACCAATTAATGAAAGTTGAAAGGTACTTAGCGACTATAACAAACGAATTGGAACAAATAAAACCTGCGCAATAAGGATATTGCTTACTTGTATCGATATTTTTTTGCATTTGAAGAATTCTTCCTGTACAAAACTTTATGAAATCAATTATATGACTGATTCCATTAAAACAGTTTTACAACGAACAGAACAGATGCATATTTAAATCCTATTCGTATACGTTATGTACAATTAGTTATTGTAATTAGTTATTGTCGATAGAATAATGCTACATACATCAGAAACGATATAATATAAAAAGACTTTCTTTTACATTTTCTATGTATATTTTAAATTCAGTTTCTTAAGTTGTTTAAAAATTTGGAGACACACCTGCTGTATTGATTTCATAAAATTTAATAAATAAATTTCTAAAGATTTAAATTGTTTGTCTTTCGAACATATGCCTATAAGATAATATATTAATGTACTATCTTATATCTCGAAAGAATGAGAATATATCGCGTATATTCTAATTTTCAATAACATTCAAAATTGAAAGTGTGACAAGACTTTTGACGACATTTATGTCCATTTCTAACAATGTAGATTAACTTTAATCTCTTGGTTCAACTTACTTTTCCAATTCTTAAAACTAGAAAAAAATAAGTTTTAATTCGTTGGTAAAAATGGGTAGAAAGCTAGGAAACACATATCGTTCCGAAGCGTGAATATGTACACACGCGGTCATTAATGCACTGATAAAGAAATTGCCTTCTCATCTGAGAGAGTGCATGGGGTAGATTCTATAAGTACGTGAATCACCTGAATGCCAGGTCATTTATCGTGTTTGTTTGGTCTATTTACCGTAGTTGTGCTACGGCTCGAAACCGGCTGTTACGAACGCGAATATCGCATTCTTATCGAGTTTATAAATTTTACAGATATCATCGTACTATCACAGTAAGTATTCATATATTTGTCGAAACATAAATATGGGATCGTTTTACATAACTCCAAACGATATTCATGTTTTAGTTATGCTTGCAAATACATAAGGCCCAAATGTAATATTATTAGCTGCAATAACATTAGATTTGGATTTGCAACATTATTATTGGGTTTGTTTTCTATTGTTGAACTAACTGCACTAGCTCAGAGTTTATCTTCTTCCTTCCAATGTGGAGTAAAAATAATTAACTCTGAAATGGTACAGCCATTTCAGCAATCGAAAACAGATCCATTGTCTTAAACCAGGTGACAACGAATGATACATGTTGAAGAACATTGTTTATTTTGTCAGATGTCCTTCGCGGGGAAAATTGTCCTGATAACAGG